AAAGGACATTTCCTCCGTCTGACATGCAACCTCTCATCACCCGATACCTTACCAACTTGACAACACAATCAACACCACCCTTACAACTATCACCAGTCTCTCAGCTGCTTATCACCTCCATCCTCTACCTACTCACCACCACTAACCTCATGTGTACTCACTCCTGTATCCTACTCACCACCACCACTCTCCATCCTACTATCCAATCTCTATCTTACTCACCGCGACGACCTTCCGACTAAGCAACACGATCCTATTTAATAATAGGTTTTCCCCCTTTTTTCTGGCAACAAAACTGAAACCTTTTTACAAGGATTCATGTCTGCATTAACCACAATACCTGCAGTCAAAATGCAAACAAAATACATACTATGATAATATATGCATTGTCCTTGAAACTGATTGGTCCACACCAAGGGACGGCTTATTATGTTTTGGTACAGGCAAAGGAGGTCTAATGATGTACGATCCTATTTACCACCACCACCATCCTCCACCCAACACTCTCTCCTCCACACCGCCACCACTCTTTCACATGTTCACAGCCACCTCTCCATTGTTCACAGCATTCTTTCACCACCACAACCCCCACTCTACCATTCCCCTCCATTCCCTCACGCAACTTTCATCACCACCATCCCTGCCCACCATCCCTGCCCACTGCCAGCCTTCAACAGTCAGCAGCCTCTCACCTGCTCACCACTACCGAACAGGGTAGACATGACGGACGCAGGTGGTGAACCGTCGAGAGACCCAAAGGCACGCGCGTGCCTCTCCACTTCCAGAGGAAAACCAAGTAACGGCACAGGAGAGGAAGAAACAAACTCCGCAGACAACCAGTCAGGTTTCAGCGCCAGAGAAATCAGCCGACTGCTTCAGGTTTCATCACATAGCGGAGACCGGCGCATGAGCGGGGCACACGGAGCAATCACCAGAGGGCTCACTGAACTGGCTGGCTCACTGGACTGGCTGGCTCACTGGACTGGCTGGCTCACTGGACCGCTCGCTCACTCCCACCGTAAACACACAAAAATGTTCACCCCCCACCCACCCCTTGTGCTCAACAAGCTTTCGCACAAGGAATGCAGACCCCAATGCATCTGCACAGCTGCTAAGCTAAGAGTTCCACCCATTCTTGGGATGGGGGGGGGGTTGGCGGTCAAGGAGGAGTGGTTGTGGGGTGGTACGATACGAGAGTGGGTTTGGATTGGTCGGGCCATGGCAAGTGAGATATAAACAACGTAAACATGCAGGAAAAAAATGCCTCCTCCCCATATCCGTCCCTCGACATAAAAATATACAAGTTTTTTTTTATTTAACACATCCCATTAGCCTCGCGGTCTTCTTGGAAGTGATTTTTTTCAGCAGCATTGGTTTCACATTCGCAAAACTCATTCCTTCAGTCTCTCTCGTCGGATTGCTGCTCTCTGCTGTTGGGAGTTGTTTAAAATGTAAAAAATATATATATGATTGAATAACCAATGCTGACAGTCATTGTTATGTCTGCATGCCCAGTCGGAACGACTTTACTGTCCAGTCGAAGCTGGATTATAAATATAAAATGATAAATTCCAGATATTCTCAATCCACCAATGGATCAAAGTCTCCACACTGTCGGTCCAGAGATTTTTGTTGACCATACTTCACCACGCTTGTCAGCGTAGGTTGGTGAAAAGGCTGGATATAGGCACACCCAGTAGTAGCACGTTATAAACAACAAGCAAGAACTGCCGAAGACTGAGCCCCAGGGCCCATAACGTGGCCAACCCTTGGAAGTGGATCGAGGAAGACGAGAAACAGAACGGAACATAAGCACAGTAATGGCTTAAGCAACACATGCTTATATTACACCAGTGGGGGGAGAAGGCAAAATAAAATCTATACAAGCACAAGGGGTGTTGCATATATTCAGTTTCTACTGCACGACAGCCAAACAACGGTTTAGCACAGAGGCGTATTTTGCATTTTAACGCTTTTAATCCCACATCCTTCAAATCTGATGCCAGACCGGTCAAATTCAGTTTGCACTGCGTTTGTCTCGTCGTGGCGGCTTGGTGGTTGTGAACAAATATGGCTGGCTGTGTGCGTGGGAACCATCGGTTTGGTAGCTACCAGTTCTCCAATTTCTGAAATGCTGAATAATTATTAGGACTTGCCGGGGTGTGTGTGTGTGCGAGATTGATTTGGAAAGCACATGCAGAGTTGAGCTTGCAATGCGTCTGGACAAGTGAATGTGCCGCATGCCCAAAACGAGCAAGCAGCTTCGCAGCACGGCGTGCATCCCACACCGCTTTCACACCAGCAGCAGTCCTGGTGGTGAAGCATTTCGGAAGCTAGAGAATCTATGTATTTTTTTGTATAGCTACCACAGCGGTTGTCACTCTCCATTCAACTCACCACCTTCCACATGAAACGCATTCGATGGGTGACGCTGACGTGTAGGCAGCCGTGCATGAGCACAAAAAACCAAGCCAAAAAAACTCACTTCCGTGAAAACACACTGCAGCCTTAAAAAAAGATATACATATATAAAACAGGCAACGTTTCTGGCAATGGACCTTCTTCACAGCACCCTTCCACACTCTCACATCACTGCTATAGCCAACTTAAACGCATGAAAACTAATGGTGCTGCATAATATGGGTCTGAAAATCCTTAAGGTCAATGGACTAAACCATATGTGGATATAACAGAGCTGAGGTCTGCTTACCCTGTACTGTATACACACCGCAGAGTTGTGTATTGTGACTGACATTATGGGGTTCTCGTTATTTACAGATATCATTACCAGTATTAGCCAAAATAATGGGTCCCAAAGTGTGCAAGTGGGCACTCCACATATACGGTTTTCAGAGGCAGCCTTTAATGCAGTGAGCATTAGTGGCCAGACCGTGCTAGTCCAAATGAGGACAAAACTGACCCAGTCGTCCACCTCTGCATCACTGCTGCCCATTCGGTGACATCTACTCAAATAGAGAGGCCCAGAATTCAGTTTTGCTAACTGCTGTTAGTTTTTTGCAGAATGCACAAAGGCTGAGTGTTTTACACAACTTATATCCCTAGGCACAATTGTCACAAAACCAAATTATTTACAGTACAGAACTTTGTCAATCCACTGCTGGTTGTCTACGCTTTGCCATGCTCATCAGTGCGGGTCGTTAAGGGGACTGGCTGGTTCAGATATCATTTGCAACTGATGCTATCCGTGGCTGGGAACCCATAGCAGTGCCACTGACCACAGCGCCACCGCTCCACCTCAGCACAGGAATAGCCTATTACAGAAGCAACATTGCAAATAAGATTAACGAGGCCTAAGTGTGTAGGCAGGAACACCGCCAAATTATGCCTAACCAACTCCGTGTCACTGAAATCAAGTTCCTGGAGCTCGTAGGACGTGCAGCGAAACGTCGGACATATTATCAAGCAACACGTGGTAACCCGAAAACGCATCGGAGAGCTCGGCAGTAAGGTGTTTTACGATGTTACATTTTGAGATGCAATTTGCATGACTGACGCAATGTATACAATTGTAGCAAATTAGTCAGTCTGATATTAAGGGCCATGGCCCGAAACGTCGTTCATTATATATTTTTCCTTTTCAATGACAGTCTTATTCGATTCTAGAGTATGGCAATTATCAGGATAAAAAACATGCCTGTCGATATCTGCTAGCGACGAGAGGCATTGTGTAGTTTTGCTATTCCTTCGCAGTTGAAGACTACATACTACAGTGGTTTAAAATATGGTCCACTGTTATTGACGAATGTACTGAGCGTTTATAAATTAAGATTTTGGCACAACCGACAAAACTTACGCAGTGGCACTTCGAACTGACGATCTCTTGAATGAACTGTGGCATGTGTCCAGCTGAATGCCAAACATTTTTCATATCTAAAAACCCTTGATGTAATAAATGATGGACAGATTGGTATGGCTTCGAGTGTACTTCATATACCAAACATGCTGTCATTCCTGCAAGGGGCAACCGCAAATATTTTGTCCATCCACCCCGATCGTGTTTTGCATATTTGAACTTTACCAGAAGTAAAAAAAACGATGTTATGAACCATGTGCTAAATGTATAGCACGTAAATGATGTCACGTTTGTCCACAGAGACACAACACACACTTATGCCAATACACTGCCGGATGAGAGACGGCCATTTGGGGGTTGTTTGACCATACTTCACCACGATGGTCAATGCGGGTTGGTGAAGGGGTGAGCATGGCCGGTTCAGAAGGGTTTGTCTTTTCCGGTATTCCAGGTCTGTATCATTCCGCAACCGTCATTTCTTGCGATTCCATTGTTTATGTTGTAAATTAGTCCACCACACACTAAATGGGTTTAGTATTACGGTTTTAAAATATAACATAATTCAATTTGATCCCATTGTATTAAATTTCCATTCCGTTTGCTCCATTATATAGCATTTGCTGATGCCAGCTTTGGCCGATCTCCTGGCTAATGCTTGAGTGGACGATAACCAGGCTTCTTCACAGGCGTTATAGGCAGCTTCAAAGCTACGTTGCGTGTCCGCTCTTTTGGCTTCACATCGTCGCCCCTACGAGCCACGCCAGGCCCTGGCCAGCTCCCCACATTCATTATCGGAATATAATTGGATCGGCCAGAATGTATCCAAGTCCAGCCGGACAGCGTAATTTTAGTTGTAATATTTTAACAAATGTTAACTCCGATTCAGTTTCCGTTTTACTATTACGCGTGCAATAGTATAGGTCACCGTGCCAAGTTTCTAAGATATTTAATGTTTCAGTCGTTCCTGTACAGTGTCTAGAGATGCGTACGGTATTAATAAACTAATATAAATCCAAATAAAATGTATTATCAGAAACGCGAGTAGGTGATTCTTGAGCAACAGTGCAAAGCAGACTATGTCCCGATGCTAGAGTCTGCCACAAAACACCCCGCAACATTATCATCGCGTGTACAGGCAGCAAGCAACACTCGCAACCTCTCAACGATCATCTCAATCCGCTCTCACCTTCGCTTTATCGCCGCCGGGTTGCATCGTGTACTCCCAACGAACGCTAGCGGCTGGTACTTTGTACTAAGAAACCTTTTGGTAAATATAGCTGCACGCAAAACTTGACGGTGTATAAACAACAGAACCTGGAGCCAAACGAGCGGCACTCTCTTCTTTAACGAACACGATTCCAAAGTTTACAAGCCAACGTAACTTTCAGAGACGCAAGTTCGACCGCAATAACACTGAAACCACACCGTCCTAAACTAGTTGCGCGTCACTTGAGTCGACTTGTGAGTTTCTGTTTAAACTCGTGCCGCGACTCGCCTTGAGTCGACCACTCCCCGGCACCGTTCACTGCACACGCGTGGGGCCCACGGGGGACCACGCCTCACGCCCTCAGGTTCGGTGCCCCACGCTCGGCCATCTTAGGCAAGGCCACCCCAAACACTTTCCCGCCTTTCACTCGAATGGGGTCGCAGGTTGATGATGTAATAACACAGCTTACATCACTATCAGGGATCAAGTTACCTACGGAATATGGCCGCCAATTAGTTGTTAGTTTAATGACGCACGGCAGTAGAGACAATCTTTAATTTAGACTCGAGGAAGCCGATGAGCTAAGAAGCTCTTTGTTCACAGATGCCCAGTAATTTCCGACGTCGTCAATAATTGTGGCCTAAAAAATCTAATTATAGGCGACGTTTTGGGGAATGGATAATTTTGCATAGCACATACAATGAAATATAAACGGAGTGTTTGCTGATAACTGCGTTGGCAGTGGTGCGCATATAAAAACCTAGATTTGTCAATTAACACTGTTAGTCCTCAAATTGAATAATAGACGTTTTGGACAATACCCTCTTTCATATTCTTGGTTCTTTCGGTAAAGCCACGTAGGTAGAAACCCTGCTGCATAGCACATCATCCATGCGTTTAGATTATTTGGATGCTACAAATTTCCACATGATTAAATCGTAAACAGGCTGGGTGTTGCTGTACGGCAACAGAATGTGAAGCTTCGTGTTCAATATGATCAATATCAGCATCATGAGCCATGATAAATAGCATAATCATGATCCATGATCAATCCACTGTGGCCTACTCTCATTCAACGGTGGAATAGCAAAACAACACCAACTCTCTCCTGAAGCCCTCTCGTCGTGGCTAGCAGACCTCCGACATTGGCATAATGCTCCTGAACGTGATGCCATCACACGCAATAATGTAGTGGAATCAATCGACTGGTAAATGAAGGCTTCCCTCCAAGTTGTCAACATCTCTCGCAATTCTGCAATCTAATCATCCAGCCCACACGTTGTACGGCTACATTGATCCGTTCTTGTGCATCGATAGTTCAATGTTAATGTGTCACTTTAGTAAGGGACTGTGTGTTGTTATCTTGGTGTGGTCTGGGGCTGTATTTTTGTTTTTGCTGCCTTGCTCAAGCTGTATAAATCGGTCTTATACATTTTTTCTTCAGATTCAGTGACTTCATATTCTTGGTTCTTTCGGTAAAGTCACGTTGAAGGGAAACAATAAAATAATAAAAATATATAAAACAATACAATTGTCACGACGTTTCGACTGTAACACAAACAGTCATCATCAGGTGTGAAAACCAACGGCAAGAAACATTTGAAAGAAGTGGCGGTTTGTATTTATTAATTTATTTTTTTACGTTAGCACCACAGACAGCGATTTGACAGTTTAGAAGGACGAGTCCATCTGTGTTCGGAAAAGAGGAGGGGAGAGACGAAAAATTAATGCATGCTGTCTGAAAGCCACCGTAAGCGTGAACAATTAAGACCCGAAATGGTTTATCAAATCCTTCCAATGATTGCTAAGCCAGAATCCATCTTCTCGGTTGAAATTTTCTCCATGTTTGTATATGTGGATAGCCTCATGAACGAATCTCTCATGGTAGCCCGATGGCTTGCAAAGAACCTCTGTCTTGGAGAAGTCAATGTCATGTGAGCCCACTGAATTATAACAATGATCTGCCACGGCCGAGGTGTTGGTCCTACCGTGTTTAAGGTCTGCTTTGTGTTCACGAATGCGGTCCGAGACATGTCGTTTGGTTTCTCCAATGTAACTACTACCACAGAGGCAACTTAGTTTGTAGACACCAGGGTACTGTATGTCCGGAATCACATCTTGAACCAGATCACGGATTTTATGTAATGTGTTGAAACGGACCTGGATCTTGTGTTTGTTCAAGATTTTGGAGATCTTTTTTGTGATCCCCGCAATGTAGGGTAAAGTGATGGTTTTGAAAGGCTCCTCAAGAGGGTCCTTCTTCATGGTTTGAGTGATAGCTTTGCGGATTGTATAGTCGGAGTAACCATTAGCCTTAAGAGCTTGGTGTACGTGCTTGAGTTCACTGCCTATGTGATCCTGGTCGGATATGCATTGGGCTCTATGGTGCAGAGTCTTGATGAGAGAATTCTTCTGTGATGGATGGTGGTGGGAATCCGGTTTCAGATAAGCATCCGTATGGGTAGCTTTCCTGTAGACAGAGTGGCTCATTGAACCATCAGGTCTCTTTTTTATTAGGACGCGTGATTCCCTCTTGAGGAGCCTTTCAAACCCATCACTTTACCCTACATTGCGGGGATCACAAAAAAGATCTCCAAAATCTTGAATAAACACAAGATCCAGGTCCGTTTCAACACATTACATAAAATCCGTGATCTGGTTCGGTCTGTGAAAGATGTGATTCCGGACATACAGTACCCTGGTGTCTACAAACTAAGTTTCCTCTGTGGTAGTAGTTACATTGGAGAAACCAAATGACATGTCTCGGACCGCATTCGTGAACACAAAGCAGACCTTAAACAAGGTAGGACCAACACCTCGGCCGTGGCAGATCACTGTTATAATTCCGTGGGCTCACATGACATTGACTTCTCCAAGACAGAGGTTCTTTGCAAGCCATCGGGCTACTATGAGAGATTCGTTCATGAGGCTATCCACATATACAAACACAGAGACAATTTCAACCGAGAAGATGGATTCTGGCTTAGCAATCATTGGAAGGATTTTATAAACCATTTCGGGTCTTAATTGTTCACGCTTACGGTGGCTTTCAGACAGCATACATTAATTTTTCGTCTCCCCCCTCCTCTTTTCCGAACATAGATGGACTCGTCCTTCTAAACAAACTGTCAAATCGCTGTCCGTGGCGCTAACGCATAAAAAAATACAAACCGCCACTTCTTTCAAATGTTTCTTGCCCTTGGTTTTCACACCTGATAATGACTGTTTGTGTTACAGTCGAAACGTCGTGAGAATGTTATTTTTATATATTTTTATTATTTTATTGTTTCCCTTCAATGTGACTTTACCGAAAGAACCAAGAATATGAATCACTGCAGTCACGAAAGCTTTAAATCAAAATTTAGTGACTTGCTTACCCTTTTCTCTATGTTGCACTCCTATCGTTGTTTTGTATTGTTTGCTGATAGTGGACATCTGAAAAAAGTTTCATTGCTCATCGGATTCTCCTGCAGTCTAAAAATTCTGATAAAGATTCTGATTGTGACGCGTGCTGATATCATCACGTGCAACACGCTCAGCCTCTGATTGTGACGTGTGCTGATATCATCACGTGCACACGCTCAGCCTCCCCAGCCCGTGCACTCTGAGACTCGCTCCACTGCTTGGCTGCTGTTGTATTATTATTCTTGACCCATCGTCAGCCACATTCCCAGTAAGCGGTGGTCAAATGTTTGTATGCACAGTATGTTGAACTTCTTTCGCACCGTACGTACCCAACCGTGCTAATCGGAGGTGCACGTCATGTGTGGTGCCGCCGCAGCGGAGCAGCTCCATCGGGGGCCGTACCCACCACCGTGACACCACCACCGGGAGGTGACAACGCCGACGCGGCGCGCCCTCGCCGCCACCCCCCCCCCCCCCCCCCCCCCCCCTGCACGGACGCACACGCCCCACATAGAGCCGGGAGGGAAGGTCACCTGGCCGACGGGTTTTTATCCAGAAGCCCCTAATGGGATCAAGCTTCATGGTTTCCTGCGGCCGGGAAATTGGGCAATCTCCCCCCGTAGCTGACGTGCACCGCGGTGCCGTGACCTGATATTAAAATTACGTGGTCACGGCGGAGGCAGTAGAGCCACCGTGGATAAAATCACACACACATGGCACGGGGCGTAGGAACGGCGGTACGACTTTGTCATAGGTAAAATTAGGGACCCCAATAACAACGGGACAGGAGCATTCTGAAATCTGAATGGACAAGGCAGCACGGGGTGCGGAAGCATCCGAATGCCTTTTGTTTTAGGTGTGTTTTAGAATGTGAAATAGCCTAGAATAACTCGGCCTCTGAATGGACAGGGCAGGCGCGGGTGCGGAAGCATCTGAATGCCTTTTGGGTGGATAAAATACGGAGGCTTAGCGTAGCAAGAGAGACTTCTTCAAATCATCGCGGTCCACGGAGCAGGAGAGTCAGCCGTTCGAGACGTCCGTGTGACAAGCTCCAGCGCAGCCAGGCTCAACCCTCTACGGAGACGACTCACAGCCTCGTCCTTCTACAGCGTTCAGCGCAGCAGAGTGGAAGTAAGCGCAAGTGAGAGAGAAGTGAGTTTGAGTGATTTAATCGAGAGTGGGGAGCGGAGCGACAGGCAGAGTAAATTCAGTCTAGGATCCCAGGGGAAATAGGCTGGCATCCACTGACCCACACAAATACGCGTAGCTTAACGGGTTACTCGCGGTAAATAAAATCACTGGTAGGGGGATAAACTGTGTCGGGTGGTCTTTGGGAGTGTGAAGAGGAGGGTAGAGCATGCTTGGTGTTCGCGTACCTGTACGATTGTTTACAGTAGTGTTTAGCGCCCGCGTGCCTAAGCGACTATTTTCGGTGGTGTCTAGCGCTCGTGTACCTGTGCAATTGCTTACAATAGTGCTTAGCGCTCGCGTGCCTGTGTGACTGTGTTGCGGTCGCGCGCCTGCGCGATTGTCTAATAGCGAGGTACCGCGCTAAGCGCCTGGCATGCGCGTATTCGCGCGGCTGTTTAAACGGCCCTTTAAATCGGAGCGAAGTGACCCCCCTTCAATCAGCAGCACGCGCACGGCAAACGCCTCTGGCCTCTCACCCCCGACCCCCCACTACCTCGCGTGTGATTGGTGCAAGGGGCTCGGCAGGTGGTAGCATCGTGTTTGTTATTGCCTGAGCGCGTGGAGCGTGTGTGTGAGGGAATCACGCGTCGGCGTGCCGCACCTGTTTGTTCACGTGCGGGATGGGGTTTTACTTTGCGAGCGCGCTAACTGCAGCACGGCGCCGCTGAACAGCGTAGCGCGTCGTAAGCGTAGAGCAGGCGGCCGCATCCAATTGAAACATGCCTACACGGGCAGCCGCAAAGTCGGGAGCACAAGGGGGCGAGGGATTGGGGGTCGGTAGCCCGGACCCCACAGAGCAGCCGGGGGGTAGTGGGACAAATGTAGCGGGGGAGTCGGGAGACAACGGCCCCAACAATTCGGTGATGCCGGGGGACGGTAGCCCCCACACATGCTTGTGTGTTTTACTAACCCCTAGTGTTAAAGCAAGGGATTACGTCCGTGCAGCACCACATCGTATAAACTTACAGTTATTTACTATAAAGGATTGCTGTTAGCCATTAACCAGTCGCATAGCGTGATGGACCCTGGTGAAATAAACTAAATAGGGGGCACCCTAGCCATATCCTCCCCTCTTCATACTCCAGTACCTGAGCCCCTCTCGCGCCATGAACGCTGGTGCAGTTGCACCGCCTGCACACTCGATAGCTGTGCCAGAGCCGTGAGTCAATGCAGTGCCGTTGCCTCCCATGCTGTGCCCGACGCTTGCTGCCACCGGCTCCAAGCTGCTACTGCTGTGGCGGGAGTCGCTATAGCGATGATCAAGGGCTGCTGCTGCTACTGCTACTCTGCAGGGCTCCTCTGAATGGCAGAGACCATGAGGAGGTGGAAGGGCATTCCGAGTAAGAGAGTGGAGCCCGTGGCTGAATGAGAATGAATTGCTGAGGCAGGAATCCTTGATGAGGGTGGAGAGACGGGGTGGGCTATTGTGAGCTGTGGCAGTGTGTGTTGGAGCTCCAACTAGTGGGTATCTTTGATTAACTTCTTTTGCACCGTACATAGCCAATTGTGCTAATCGAAGGTGCGGGGGAAGGACAACAAACAACAAATGTGTTGTGGTTAGCGTTGGCGTAGTGGCCAGAGCACGGCGCTACACACCCAGTGTGTATGAGTTCAATCCCCGTTCACAGCTAACAATTCCCGGCCACAGCCAATATTGGTGACGATTATCTGAACCCGTACTAGGCCTGCCCTAAGTTGACTCAGCCTTAAATAAGTGCCTGGTGCTATGTATAAACATCAGCACTGGGGAGGTGAAAATGGCTGCGTGTGGTCCTGGCCACACCATCTCGCCGTGTTTTTAATCGGTGCTCGCCAACAAAGTATTCCACGAGTACTCCGAGGTCAAGGTTCATTTCCTGTAATGTACTCCACGAGTACTCCGAGGTCAAGGCTCATTTCCTGTAATGTACTCCACGAGTACTCCGAGGTCAAGGCTCATTTCCTGTAATGTACTCCACGAGTACTCCGAGGTCAAGGCTCATTTCCTGTAATGTACTCCACGAGTACTCCGAGGTCAAGGCTCATTTCCTGTAATGTACTCCACGAGTACTCCGAGGTCAAGGCTCATTTCCTGTAATGTACTCCACGAGTACTCCGAGGTCAAGGCTCATTTCCTGTAATGTACTCCACGAGTACTCCGAGGTCAAGGCTCATTTCCTGGAGCTGTTGCCAATGCAGCTTCCAAGAAGACAAGAGTCGTTAGAGCTATTTATGTTTTGAATAAACGCACTTCTTTAATCGGGCCTTCACCCCCTAGTTATGGCCGGTTAGCCTTCAGGTTATGTTTATTTCCTTGCTTTCCATACACGGTGGCACGTTGGGATCTATGTGTAGTGGGTAATAAACTGGAGGAATCCATACTCTTTGGTTATTTCGGTAAAGTCACGTAGGTAGAAAACTAATAGATCACGACGTTTCGATCACAACACAAGCAATCGTCATCAGGTGGGACAACCACAGCAAGAAAAAAACTGCTGCAGTAGTTTCAAATCAAGAAGCTTCAAATCAAGATTAAACTGGAGGAAGCTTACTCTGAGGCAACACATTTATTACAACACCAAAAGACTACAACGCAAAGGGGTAACGGCCCGTTCCACCCGATACTCTATGTATCTTACTGGCTATCACATCGCCTACACTGCTGGGGCTTGAGTCTTCTCTTGAGTCTTCACTGGTTATAAGCTGGAGCTCTCACTGGTACGAGCTCGAGCCGACCCTAGCCAGGGGTTCGGCTCTGCCCATTGGGCTCTTCTCTGCAGGGCTCCAGGTGAGGCTGTTCGGTCTTCAGCCAAATGATGACTGAGCTGGACCCCTCGGGGACCTGGCTTTTATACAGGATCCCGGGTCACTCCGCCCCTGGCCACGCCTCCCTTCCAGAACCTTCTCCAAGGGCCTGGATAATTACCTCATCCCCCAGCCCCGTTGCCTGGGGTCTGGGGTCCCGACCGTCGGTAACGATGCTCCCCCCCAGGCATTGCCGAGGGCCAACAGCCAATGAGTAGTAGAGCCCTTCATCACGATCAGCCGGTCCGGCCTCTCTGCTGCTCCCTACTGGCGCAAGCTAGTACTGCCGACTATGAGTAGTGGCGATCATGGTCAACCATGCCACTACATATGGATGAAATGCGCCTCACACATGTAAATTATTATTGTAGCTATAGGAAGATTGTCTCTATTATGGTGTTGGTAGTATTAGCACAGTCTTGGCGACCTGGGTATAATTACTATCGGATTCTGAACATCTCAGATGTCAATTCCGCTTCACATTCATGCCAAGTGCTGCAGCGGTGTGTTTACGAATGTCAACAAGGGAATGTAATAAATATGGAGCCAGCCATGCATGACACTGGTCCTCCTGCTGTGCTCACGCACCACAGATCTCCCTTGTAACAAATCCGAGCAAATGGCTAAACGGAACCATTCGTGTAACACGTAAAATAAACTTAAATTATTGGTCTCTATGTAGCTCAATGTATCTCTACGTATCTATACAAGTCTCTGTGTGAAGTAGCCGGGCAACTGGCTAAACCTGACCATCCGTGTAACAAATTAAACTCAACACTCCTTTGTACAGTACTATATACAATAATCTTCAGCAGCAGCCATGCTCAATCCACTGCTGAATGAAAGCCTCCCGAAGCCATCGCCATCCCTCTTGGTCCTGCGCCATCGTTATTATACTCGACCACCGGCTAATAAGGGGCGCCACGGTGGCGAGATGTTAATTACCTCGCCTGGTATGCAGGAGGTCGTGGGCTCTATTCCGACCCTGACGCCTGTATATGAGTTTGCATGTTCTCCCCGTGGTTGCGTGGATTTTACTTCGGGTCCTCCGATTTTTCCCTGCACATTTAGATTTAACAACAGCACGCGTTTAGAGTATGTGGCCTGCTATACATTTCCACATGATAAGCCACTTCGTTGGGCTATCATTTGTGGCTAGGTCGCTTCTGAAAAAGAGCTACCTAGCTCAATGGGCCTTACCTGGTAAAAGAAAAATAGTGCATAGTTTAGTTTTATTACCCCTCCTCGCGACGCATCCTGCCCAAGCCCACGTTTTTGATAGTGGAGATGATATCTCTAGCTTTTTGTGAGGTCGCACTCATCACACAAAGTGCTTGCCATAAATGAACCAAAGTATCTCGTAAAGGAGCATAAACCATCACGGCAACTCCGGTCATCCTCGCCATCGAACAAAGACGGTCCCTGCATCACTCGTTTTTAGATGCGCTTCTGTGGTCGTCTGGAACGCTCTTCCTTCGGATATTAGGAATCCACTGGAGCTATGCACCTCTGATTAGTAAGGTTCGCTACGTACGGTGGAACAGAAGTTCATCATACATACAGACAGCGTGCGTGTGTGTTGTTTAATCCGTGTGTTCCACTTAATGTTACTCAGGGTAATTCCTAAACATGCACCTCTCCGTGCTTCTCTGGGCACTTTTCAGCGGTTGCTTCATATTTTTAGTTAGTATTCGTGTTTCTGATCCATAAGCCAGAGTCGGTAATATACAATGTGAAACAAGCGATATTCTGGAGGCGCATATTGGTATGGTGATTTTCACGTACAAGTTCAGTTTGATTAATCAACACGTTCCGTGCCAATAATCTCTCTGGCCTCTCTATGCGCTATTGATGAGGGTCATTGCCCCAAACGTCACCTATTAATATACTATAAAAATAGTTACATTTTCTTCTTTAAGTTATTTGTTTATATTTCCTATACTTTACACTCCTATCGTGTTTTTGTATTGTTTGTTGTTTGAATGTTCTGACCTTCCCCTATTGGACATCTGTGAAAAATAGCTTTATTTTTCATCGAATTCCTCCAGTATTAATATTGTGATTTTGATATGTGTGGAATTACCTCAATAGGTGCTCACCAGCAGCAGTCGTCATGATAATCTAAACTAAGGATAGTAAGCCTGACTCGTTGTTAAGGTGAGGGGTGGGTGAGCAAGTGGTGTATGGGTTGTAATGATGAGGAATGCAGAGGGGGTATGGGTGGAGGAGGAGAGGTAGTAGTGTGGGTGCTGAAAGGAGGTTAGAAAGGAACGAGGTGGTGGGGGGGAGCTGGATAGTGGTGGGTGTACGAGGGCACAAGAGGCAGGCAAAATGGGACGGCATTCTTTTTAGCACATTGATTATTTATTTCCCAAAGAACCCTATTCATCCCACAAATGCACGCTCAAAGACTTGAGCAACGACCGCCGTCACCCGAACGCACGCACCCAGACTCCTCGCCAACTGCTCAGATTAGAAGCAACTTGTTTTCTGCTCCTCGATTTAATGCGCACATAAGTGCGTTTGGGTTTTTTGCAGCGAAACCCACGTGGCAGCAGCAGAACACCTTAAGCGCGCAACTTTTCTTTGACGAATATCCTCGAATCAAAAAAAGGCTCGGAGCTGCGTGCATCTCACCCGTTCGGCTCCATGCGTTAGCGTTCGTATCCACATCCCAACGCGCTTTCATGATGGGCTCAGCCACAGTGGAGGGGTTGGCTGTGGCCCTCTGTTCCATCGGCTGGCTCTGCGACATCATCGCTTGCGCCATTCCCATGTGGCGGGTCACTGCCTTCATCGGAAACAACATCGTGACAGCCCAGGGCATATGGGAGGGCCTCTGGATGAGCTGCGTGTTCCAAAGCACGGGCCAGGTACGTGAGGATTTGTGTATCTAAGGATGAAGTGTGGAGCGGTGGCGTTGCGGTTAGCGCGCTGCGCTTTGAACCCAGCAAAACAAATTCGATTACCGCTTATGGCCAACATCAGTGTTAATTATCTGAAGCGGTTCTGGGCTTCAGTTGGGTAGACTCAGCCTCAACTTAGTACCTGGTGCGATGTGTAAATATCGCCACTAGGGAGACAAAGGTGGCCGGGCGTGGTCCTGGCCACCCACCCTATCGTGTGCCATGTTGGCCTTCATAGGTGCTTGCTAACAACACTTGCCCCAACAGTCTGTTTAGGCTATACGGGGAATCTTTGTCTTTATTTTATGTAAGGATGGAGTATGGGATGTCATTTCAGTCAGTCTACACCATAATACATGGATCTGTCTCGTGGCATCCTGTCTGCGAGCCTTCGACGCGTCACATGCTTTTAAAGTGCACCTAGCCTGACACAAGTGCTGCGGTGACATCACTGCCACTTAGTGGCGAATGACGGCTGTTGTTGTTGGTATGGCATGCATGAAGTGCATGATGGGGTAGCGGTTTGTGAGAATGGGAGATGTTACTAACTGGCTCCAGACCAGAATGACAGAACGTGGTCCGATGGCTCACATTGTTGAGAGTGCCGACCTGGGACTGCTACCATCCTCGGTTGGAATCCAAGCCATTTGTTTGTTATGACATTGGGTTATTAAGTTGTGTAGCGAGTTGATGGTCTCAGGCCGGCCACCAAAAATATTCACTGCTCTTTCGCGGTTGAAACGCAATGCTGCAGCATCAGGGGACACCCTGAAAGCAATTTGATAGTTAAAGCCAGAGCCTTTCTGCGTGTCCATTACTCTTAGTTATGTACCGAAATTAGATCGGTTTTGATCTTTTCACCTTGTATACGTGCATCACGCAAAAAAATCAGGATTCAGAAAACCGTGGTGAATAACGATCGAACGTTTGGCGTCATCGGGCATGCGTGGTGGTGACAGAGTCAGGAGAAGGAATTTGATATTCTAAACTATTTAAAGCCACATTTATATCTGTGGATATTGTCCAGCCATTGTGGCATCCTTCCCACATGTCCAAAGTACTCCTGAAGGAATTGACAAACACCATCACTAAATAATATAATAATAATAGGGGTTTTCCCCTTTTTATGGCAACAAAACTGAAACCTTTTTACAAGGATTCATGTCTGCATTAACCACAATACCTGCAGTCAAAATGCAAACAAAAAACATACTATGCTAATATATGCATTGTCCTTGAAACTGATTGGTCCACACCAAGGGACGGCCTTTGGCGTCATCTGGTCGAGCACCAATTGGGTTGAGGCTCAAAAGAAAGCCGTAATTATCCAAAATTTATGTTAATTATGCGCATAAATTATGCTAATTCGACAGATAATCGTATTCAATTATGCGAGTGGGTGCGATTATGCTAATGCGAACCGTTATGATAATCAGGCCCCGCCTCGCTGACGAGGGTCGGATTATCAATCGGGATCATGCAATTAATCGTGTGAGGTAATGCCAGTGTGATGCAAGTATGCCAGATTAAACTCGGCTTCGTTGTTTAATTTCGGATTAACGCTCGGCAATACAATTATTCTCGCTTTAAAATTTACTGAGTGTATTAGTGTATTTATGTCAGGTCTACAAATTCAGATCTCAACGCAGAATACAGTTCTTATAGATACGATTATTATGCTTGAAACAGGAAATAAACACGCAACCACTTCTGCGTTAATCAATTTATTTTCTAACTAAACCTTAACTAAAAGATGTAACTCTCGGCTTTGGAATTATCATTACAGTACCAACACAGTAACCACGATTGCGTTGTTTCACTTTGGCGACGGCACATGTGATTAATTCCACCGCGTAACGCGAGCTCAATTGGTGAGAGAGAGAGTCGTTAAAACATGCATGCTATTCTACACAAAAACTTTAATAACGTCCTTCGAATGATTGCTCAGTTTGTACCCATCTTCTCGGTTCAAGCTGTGTCTGTGTTTATATATCTGGATGGCTTCATGAACAAATCTCTGATGATAGCCGGTGGGTTTGCAGAGTACCTTCGTCTTGGAAAAATCTATTTCGTGTGAGCCCACAGCTTTAAAACAATGATCAGCAACGGCAGAGGTATTGGTCCTACCGTGTTTCAGATCTGCCTTGTGTTCGCGAACACGGTCCGAGACATGCCGTTTCGTTTCCCCAATGTAACTGCTGCCGCAGCCACAACTTAGTTTGTAGACACCAGGGTATTGCATGTAAGAAATCACATTCTTTACAGATGGGATCTAATCACGGATTTTGTGTACTGTGTTGCAGTGACGTGCGGTGAGGTCAATGGCTGGGGAGGCACTGGCTCGTGCCAGAACCAGAGTCACTCACCGAGGCAGATGTGATAGCTGCCTCCCCTGGTGCTTTTTCATTGCAGTTTCATGACGAGACCAGCGAGCCTAAACATCTTTATACACATACGTGTAATAAGTTACCTGGAGTATAGAAGGCGAGGACATGAAATGAAGGGATCTACAAACATTACATTGGTGACATACTGAGATAGTAACAGGCACGCGCTTATTGCCCGCGCTCCATCCAGTTACTGAGGGGTTGCGCAATCAGAGGGGAGGCTGAGCTCGTCGCTGCCTCACCTCTCGTCTCTTCCTCTATTTGGCGATTTTGACTGTAAAAATGATTGGAATCGTACAGAAATGACATTTATAACACAGATCAGTGGAGAAATCAATTCTGATTATTCTCTTTTTTAACTTTTCGTAACAGCTATTTTAATTGGAGTATGATAGGTGAGGCTCTGCCTCCCCTGCCTCCCCTGACCGCACATCTCTGCTGTGTTGAAACGAACCTGGATCTTGTGTTTGGTGAAGATTTTGGAAATATTTTTGGTAACCCCTGCTATGTATGGCAAAGTGATGGTTTTTATTGGATCCTCAGATGGTTGTCTATGGGCAGACAACCATCTGAGGATCCAATCAAAACGAGGTATGGTAAAACGACCATCCCTCATGACCCGCACAGCATTGGGAGGCCCTTATCCACCGGTAGTAAGTCTCAATAAGTGCGACACCGGCACATAAGTATCCACCACAGCTGCCTGCCAGGTGGTCTCGTCTGCTCACATTTATTTTAATGGTGACCTAAAACAAGAATCAAGACAACCACAATGTAAATTTTGATTTAAAGCTTTTTTATTGTTTTATATATATTTTATTATTTTGTTGTTTCCCTTCAACGTGACTTTACCGAAAAAACTAAGAATATGAACCACAATGTACTTCTTCAGGAAGTGCTGATGACTTTTGAACAATGCATAGAGAGGCCGAGTGCTCTGTCCACGTGTCCGTGTGTTGTTTGAAACTCATGGTTTTTCTGCGTGCACTCTGATTCTGTTATGATTCCGGGAGTTTTGTCGTCATTTACAGATTTGATGCTTTCCCTGCTCAACACGCAGTTGCCCTCCCGCGGCTTTGGTGAGGGCAACTTGCGCGTGTTTGCTCGCCATGTCACCCTTGATACATTGCTTCCGAGTTCTGTTTCATAACAATAGAGTAGTCTCAGGATGGATGACTTGGGCTGTCCATCGTTTCCTCACACACGATGGAATAGGAGCTGGCCACGCACGTGTGCATGGTATATTAATTTGATTAATGCCAGAGAATTTTGATCAAACGTTATTAAACACAAGAGCAACAGTATGCGTTAAAGTTGTTGCCAGCTCACATGAGCAATGAGGCTGGCCGAGTCTATCCAAAGGAAAACGACTGGTAACTCCCCGCACAAAGTGGTGCTCGTTTTATCGGCCCCCAGAGGGAGGAATGATGGGCTGAGTTAATCCGCTAACCGGGACTGTGAACTCGCAACCTTCCGATTGCGAGCCGCTCGCTCTCTAGCGCTAAGTAGCCACCTGGGTGTCGAGGAGGTGCCGTACTTTGGCTCGCCAGGAGAAGGCAGTAGAGAAAGTGGATTAATCGCCATCTGTTTCCATCTGTACGAAGGATAGAGTGGTGCCGCCCTCGCACAAAGGCGTGGATTTTCTCCGGTTGCTCCGGTTTCCTCTCACACGTTGTGTAATAAACACAACTAGTCGTTGATTAGCTGAAAACATCTTTAAAATAAAAGGTCTATGAGGCAAGGCCCTCCTGTAACTTGCTGACCCACCCATACTGTAGATCTGTGAAAAAGAGTTTCATAGCTCATCGGATTCCTCCTCCAGCCTAAGTAAAGATTCTGATCCTCAAAAGAAAGAGTCCCACGAATCAGCTTGGCTGACGGCGCTTTGGACGGCAGATTTATGCCAGAAAGGCGCCATGTTTATTTTAATAATCATTAAATTAACTAACTAATTAACTTAACTGGTTCTCCTGGACGTAAAACCTCTAAAATGTCACGTGCACGACGACACTGTGGGGAGGTGGGGCGAGAGACCAAAAACGACAATGGAGCGTGGAGGGGTGGTGGAGGGGTGGCGGCCGCGGTGAGATGGTGTCGTACAATTTTAAGAAAAGTGAAACCGACCCATAGGATATTTATTTATTTATTTCAGGGGCGCCACGGTGGCGTGAAGGTATCTGCCTCGCCTGATGCCTGCTGTATATTTGGCGTTTGCATATTCTGCTCGTGGCCGCGTGGATTTTTCTCTGGGTCCTCCGGTTTTTCCTTCCACATTTAGCATAATGCGTTTTGAGTATTGGCTGCTATAAAATTCCGAGTGATAAACCACTTTGTTGCGATTTAATTTGTGGCCAGATCGCTTCTAAAACAAACTAATAATTTAGTGGGCTTTGCCTGGTACAATAAAATATAGTTTAGTTTATTTATATTTTTTATTTGTTTACCTTTCCTATACGTTGCACTCCTATCGTGTGTTGTATTGTTTGTTGGAACGTTCTGGCCCACCCCTACTGGACATATGTGAAAAAGAGCTTGAAAGCTCATCGGATTCCTCCAGCATTCACTTGCTCATTCTGATTCCGAGATGACAATTCCCAGCGCGCCGCCGTGCCGTCCGCCGCAGGTGCAGTGCAAGGTGTACGACTCGGTGCTGGCGCTGGGCCCGGAGCTGCAGGCGGCACGCTCGCTCTCCGTGCTGTCGGCGCTGCTGGCGCTGATGGCGCTCCCGCTGGGTCTGGCGGGCGCGCCCTGCACGGGCTGCGCGCGGGGCGACGCACGCTCCAAGGCACGCGTCTCGGCGCTGGCGGGGACCCTGGCCGCGCTGGCGGGCGCCCTGCAGCTCGCTCCGCCCAGCTGGACGGCGCACGCGGTCATCAGGTATCTCACACCGCGATGACCCAGTCAGAATCAGAAGTTTATAATAATACTTTCATTTTACATAGCTTCATTCATGCTAATCGCATCCCACAACGCTGTACGTTCATCTATATATATAAAAGTCAAAAGTTATGTATGGGTTTGTGGCGGGGTTTCTGTGTGGGTTTCTAGTGGGGTTTGTGTGCGGTCACGCGCTTGGCTCTCCAACGGTGGGGTTTACGTAAAAAAAATAGCCAGGTACCACGCCGTAAGCCCCGCGGTGAGCAAGCGCTAGTCCTTTTTCACATCCGTCAACTTTTAATTAGTTTAACTATCGATTTAGTGCTATATTTGTGCCCTTCCATTGTATTTATTTATTTATGACGCGTGCACGACCATGACGTGTGCACGACTAAACCAACTCACTCGCCTTTGGTGAGGAGGACGGCCCATGCCAAGTCGCACGCCTTTGGTGGGAGTGAGGGGGCCATTTTCTTTGGCGTTAAAAATCCTATAAAAAATATACTAAACTTTCAGATAAATTCTTCACTGTCTCATGTCCCCCCCACCCTGATGCGTGCAGTTATTACTACTATACAGTCGGTAGATGCTACCACTATAGGCCGTAGATATTACTGCAGAGCGGCCGGGGACATCGTGCCTGGGAAGGGTCAGGGGTAGTTGCCCAGCCTGCCAAGGTGCCACCTCGGCCGGCTGGACAATCTAGGCGAGGCAGGAGGCTCTGCACGGGACTAGGCCTCACCACGCCACTCTATCAGGTGAGTACTTTGTGCTATTGAGTCGATAAATACTGCTATAGAGTGCTACTGTAGTGATAGCAGGTACCACCACAGTTGGTATGCACTGCTGTAATCATAGCAGGTACCACCGCAGTCAGAATGCACTGCTGTAATCATAGCAGGTACCACCGCAGTCAGAATGCACTGCTGTAATCATAGCAGGTACCACCATAGTATGCATTGTTGCAGTGAAAGCAGGTACCACCACAGTATGCACTGCTGTAATCATAGCAGGTACCACCACAGTCAGTATGCACTGCTGTTAGATTTTTAACACAAAAAGCACAAACAGCAAAAAAGTTATCACAACGAAGAAATGAGTCCATGAGGTCTACACATCCCAGACCACAATCTCAACTTTTTAACCAAGCCATGAAACTTCACGGGAAGGACGGTGGTGGAGTGCCAACAAGTTACAACTCATTTATATAAATCAGTCCAACGTCCAAAAAGTGACTACTGATTTTCAGTGTATGCCTGGATGAATAAAAGGCGTTTAGTTCCGATTTTAATGATTACATGATGCAGTTGATTTGTCGGATGTGGAGTGAGAGGGTAAAGCCAATTGAGCTAAGAAGTTATTTTTAGTTTCAAGGGCGACTCGGGCAGAAACCTGGAACAGGAGTCCGATGAGCTATGTCACAGATGTCCAGCTAAGGGTCACGTGGGGTCAGCGGGTTACATCAACAACAAACAATACAAACAACAATATAAGAGCAAGATAGAGAAAAGGTCACACAGTCTCTAAAACTAAATATGTAAATACAGATTAATGAAGTATAAAGTACAAATTGCACAAGCACATGGATTCCTGTCGATTTGTTAACAGCAAATACTCAGCTTGAGTGGGGCAAGGCTGCAAAACAACAACAGTCACAGACCACACCAAGACAACACCGTCACCCCCTCTCTTCTCTTTTAACAATCTCTGAAAGGTGTTCAATGCATGTTTGTACGTATGTTGAACTTCTTTGACACCTTACATAGCAAACTGCGCGAATCAGAGACGCATGCCTGCAATTTCACCATTCCCGTGGCCGTGTCGGCACATGCGACTCGAATCCACGCCGTGCCGTAAGACGCGCGTCGCGTAACTGTGCCGATGTGGCCGCGTGTCGCGTCAGGGACTTCCACGACCCGACGATTCCGGCGTCGCTCAAGAGGGAGTTGGGGCCGTGCGTGTACGCGGCGTGGCTGGGCGCCGGCCTCCTGCTCCTGGGTGGCTCCCTGTTGTGCGGCGGCTCGTGCGGGGCTTGCGGGGCCCACACGGAGAGCACGAGGGGCGCGTGGCGGGACCCTTCGCCTGCCTGGGACCGTCCCCCGCAGCAGCCGCTTGCGGCGCCGCCCGTGCACAGCCACGTTCCCATGAGCGCCGCCCGCAACTACCTGAAACGCAACTACGTGTGAACACCCGTTGGCGCCCCTGGGGGTGTTGGTCTTATTGTTATGTTTTATTCTAAACTTCTAAAGTATTTGTGGTTCGAGGGTGATGTCTCATTGGAACCGACATGACCGACTTGGTTAACGTACCTGTCAGGTTAACATCAGAATTAGAATCCTTATTTATACGACAGGAGGAATCCGATGAGCTACAAAGCTCTTTTTCACAGATGTCCAGGGCGGGTCGGCAAGTTACAACAGCAAACAATACAAACACGATAGGAGTGCAAAGTAGAGATAGAGGTAAGAAAGTCGACCAACATCAGTTGGTTGGCCTTAGACTTTCACAATACTTAATAAAATAAGATAAAAGCATATATAAGAATGCGTGGAGTTGTCCAACTTTAGATACGAGAGAGTCGCCCAGAAAGTAATACCCCGCATTAAAAAAAATATTCCCACTGAAAAACGTTCAAACATTTGGTGCTGTAAGATTGAACTATCCCGATCCTTTTCTGCACATAGCCCCGCAACAATTAGTCATCAAAATGGCATGGCTTAGTAATGTGCATCGCAAACAAAGCGAGCTGCATTTGAGTTCATATTCTTTGGCTCTTTCGGTAAGGTCACGTAGATAGGTTCAAAGAAAATAACAAAATAACAAAAAAACTACCACGCTTGTGTTTCGATCGAAACGTCGTAGTTTTTTGTTATTTTCTTTGAACCTATCTACGTGACTTTACCGAAAGATCCAAAGAATATGAATTCCTGCAGTCACGAAAGCTTTAAGTCAAGATGCAATTGAGTTGTTGACCGCAGAGATCAAGTCAGTGGGCAACATTCACAAAAAGGCTAAACACCGTCTACGGAGACGATACCAGGACACAGCAGAAGCCATGTTGGTCACTGCTGGGTAAAACGGGAAAAGACATTAGCAGAAGGTCGAGGAACAGCTGATCTCTCGACACTGTGCTGCTTGCTGATAACACGATTCGTCGCGACCGACGCATCACAACCAGGGTGGTTGCGCTTGTAACCAATACATCCGATGGGTAGGTTTTATTTTTCTTCAACACATTTTGGCCAAGAAAAAAAACAATGGGGCATTACTTTCTGGGCGACCCACGTGGTTACAGAAGTAACAGATCCCTACTCAGCATAGGGTGCAATCCATATGCCCCCCCCCCCCCACCTTAACACCTGTAAATCATTCGAAAAGTTATTGGGAAGACAACACATCGGGATGTGAAAGTGCTAAAATGACACTGCTAACAAACTCACAAGCGACCCGGTTGTTGCACTTCACACCACCACTGGGTTGCAGGCTCTACCAGCCGAGCAGTCTCTCGTTTCCTTAACGTGTCACCGACCAGCCCCGTAGGGATCTGGAGGGGGAATCTACCCCCATGCCCCCTGCTGAAAGTTCAGCCTCCATTTAAATTCAGCCCACTTCAACCATAAGCAGGGGTCGGCAACCTGCATCTCCGGAGCCACATACGGCTCTTTAAGGAATCCTTTGTGACCTCATTCACGTGCATTGCGGCTTTTGAAATACTGTACTGGTTTTTTTTATCCAATTCGAAAAAAATGTCTCTTCTTGTTACTTTGGTGTCCGACCCCTGACCCTAATAACCACAGCCACCACAGAACCACCACAGCCACCACAGAACCACCATAGAACCACCAGGCATGTCATGATGTGCCCTAACCACCGCACGTGATAAGATACATTTTCAGGATTCAGGGCCACTATTTGAATCAAGAATCGTTTAGATTCCCAATTGTATTGTCTGTAAATTGTTTTTTTTCCCCATTAGCCTAAAACCTTACATTTACATATAATTTACATTTTTAGTATGGCACTGTAACTATCTAACATATTAAATGTTTTATCTGTGTACATATGATCTGATGAATTTATCATGAGAAAATATTTGAATATACGAATCATCACGCACATCATGTAGCACCATAATCTTTGCCACTTTCACAACATCCTCTACTATCAGCATCACTACCAGCACCATCAGCACCACAACCATCTCCATCGCCAACCGCAACATCATCACCACCATGCCCATCATCACCACAGCTTCCAGTAAATGTAGAGAGCCTCTACGGGGTTGGGTTAGGTCCTGAGCTTTGGGCAGTGTGTGTGGAGATGTTCTCTTCCTCGCCTGGTATACAGGAGGTCGTGAGTTCGATTCTGTCCCTGGCGACTATGTTTGGAGTTTTCGTGTTCTCTCTCTCTGCCCGCGGTCGCGTGTTTTTTTCTCCGGGTCCTTTGGGTTTCCCTTCACATTGAGTAAATGACGCGCGTTAAGAGTAAATGGCTGCTGTATATTTCCACGTGATAAGCCCACTTCGTTGAGCTATAATTTGTGGCCAGGTCGCTTCTGAAAAAGAGCTATGGAGCTCAGTGGGCCTTATCCGGTAAAATAAAAAAAATTTATAATTTGAGTTTTAAATTCACAAATCTCAATAAGAACGACACGGATCTGTGGGACCTTTCACACATTACCCTGATACACATTGGCTAGGGATCGAAAGGGAATGTAGTGAAGTCAAATCGATTTCCTGCTCAAATGAGTACTGAGGCGGTGCCCTTCTCCCGTTTACAGCCGCGAGCCACAGGTGCAAATTCCACATTCCTGTGACACGGATTAGTCTATCAATAGGATACCCAATATTTACTTCCACACAAAGTGGTACTTACTTGATCAACCCCCGGAAGAATGATGGATGAGGTCAACCCGCAACCAGTGATTTGAACTCGTAACTTTCCAATGGCACGTTACTCACACTGCCGCTGAGCCACCTGGCACTAAAGTTACAAACACTGAAATATTTGTCTTAAATGCCTTGGAAGTGTTTTGTTAGTATAACATGCTATTATGAGTTGGTTTTCTGTTATTGTTTGCTTACATTTTTCATATAAAGTTACAATATACTAACAAATGCATGTGTTGAGCCTTCTGTGAACTCCGGTCGTGGCCTGGTAGTGGAATGCAACTGGTGACCCTGCTCTTTAGTATCAACTACCCCACAAAACACCGAGACGGGCCGAGGCCACGCGGACAGGATCGCACGCTCTGGCTTGGGGAGTCGAACTCGGCCACAGAAGGCAGATTGATAAACAGCTGTCACGCCTCTTGCTCTCTAGAAAAGAGAAGTCACCTGTTGTGTCTTAGGATTGAGTTTTGGATTTAAAACGTTGATTTTTTAAAAGGACAATTTAGGTGGCGAGATGTTAGCTACCTCGCCTGGTATACAGGACATATTGGGTTCGATCCCGAACGTAACGCCTGTATATTTTGATTTTGCATGTTCTCCCCGTGGTCGCGTAGATTCTTATCTGGGTCCTCCGGTTTTTCCCTCCACATTTATTATCAACATCATACGTATAGAGTATTTGGCTGCTATAATTTCCACATGATACGCCACTTCATTGGGCTATCATTCGTGGCCAGGTCGCTTCTGAAAGAGCTATATATAGCTCAGTGGGCCCTACCTGCTAAAATAAAACGTTTGTTTAGTTTAGGAGTAGCAACTCCAAATATAGTAGTAATAACTCCAAATATACAGGCGTCAAGAACGAAACCCACGACCTCCTACATACCAGGCGAGGTAGTTAACATCTCGCCACCGTGGCGCCCACTTCTTTTCCATTTGATTCCTGAGGCCACGGCTAACATCAGTGGTCAGCGTGGAAGAAGTGGGACACATAGCCTCTGGACGCGAGGGCCTTTTTAGAGCGAGCACCTTTTAGAGGGGGGCTCTTCCATCAGCAGTGGCGTGAGAAAGCAATTGCAGGGCTGCGCCCATACCGTCACTCTCTCTTAAAAAGATTATCGGCTGAGCAATGGGATCCTAAAACCTTGGGGCTGGGCTCTGCAACACAGAAAGAAGCTCATTGCCAGCGTGGCTCACTCAGCACTCTTAATTAGGGTCTAGATTACAATCTTAGGAACATGGGGGGTGATGGCAGGGGAGGGAGGACAGGCGAATGGAGATCACAAGAATAAAGTCCTTTCATAATGTACACTGTTGTGGCCATTGCACAAATCCCATAGAGCGAAGAGTTTGTTTTTATTAAAAGCGCGACGAGAATCACATATTGGGGCGGGGGGGGGGGGTCGACGAGTGGTGGCGCAGTGGTAAGTGCACCGTGGTATGAATAATCCTTCCACTTCAGTTTGATTTCCGGCCAGGCCTAGCATCATTGGCGAGTGATACCCGAACAAGTCCTGGCCAACCCTCCTCCGCACTCCTTCGTCTTTCACCCACCCCCACTGACCAACATGGTGAAGTATGGTCAATCAAAGCACCACAGCGTGGGGAGGGCTTCATGCATCCATCAGTGGATTTAAAAAAATAACATCCGGCAGGAGCGATTCAAGCGGGGCTGACTGCTACTGTGACTCTGCCTATCGAAACGGTTCTAGAATGTTGCTTGTGCTAAACCAATGCTGCTGAAATGATTCAGCCCCAGAAAGCAGTGGAACGGATGGGAGTGTAAGTACTGTACGTGCATTGTTGCTTCTCTAATTTATTTGGTGACTGGAAGTCTCCCATCCCGGTGTCAAAGTCTCCCGGTGTCTCATCCCGGTCTATACGCATGTACAGTGAGGGAAAAAAAGTATTTGATCCCCTGCTGATTTTGTACTTTGCCCACTGACAAAAAAATGATCAGTCTATAATTTTAATGGTAGCTTTATTTGAACAGTGAGAGACAGAATAACAACAAGAAAATCCAGAAAAACGCATGTCAAAAATGTAATAAATTGATTTGCATTTTAATGATGGAAATAAGTATTTGACCCCCTCTCAATCAGAAAGATTTCTGGCTCCCAGGTGTCTTTTATACTGGTTACGAGCTGAGATTAGGAGCACACTCTTAAAGGGAGTGCTCCTAATCTTATCGTGTTACCTGTATAAAAGACACTTGTCCACAGAAGCAATCAATCAATAAATCAGATTCCAAACTCTCCACCATGGCCAAGACCAATGAGCTCTCCAAAGATGTCAAGGACAAGATTGTAGACCTACACAAGGCTGGAATGGACTACAAGACCATTGCCAAGCAGCTTGGTGAGAAGGTGACAACAGTTGGTGCGCTTATTCGCAAATGGAAGAAACACAAAAGAACTGTCAATCTCCCTCGGCCTGGGGCTCCATGCAAGATCTCACCTTGTGGAGTTGCAATGATCATGAGAACGGTGAGGAATCAGCCCAGAACTACACGGGATGATCTTGTCAATGATCTCAAGGCAGCTGGGACCATAGTCACCAAGAAAACAATTGGTAACACACTATGCCGTGAAGGACTGAAATCCTGCAGCACCCGTAAGGTCCCCCTGCTCAAGAAAGCACATATACATGCCCGTCTGAAGTTTGCCAATGAACATCTGAATGATTCAGAGGACAACTGGGTGAAAGTGTTGTGGTCAGATGAAACCAAAATGGAGCTCTTTGGCATCAACTCAACTCGCCGTGTTTGGAGGAGGAGGAATGCTGCCTATGACCCAGGAACACCATCCCCACCGTCAAACATGGATGTGGAAACATTATGCTTTGGGGGTGTTTTTCTGCTAAGGGGACAGGACAACTTTACCGCATCAAAGGGACGATGGACGGGGCCATGTACCGTCAAATCTTGGGTGAGAACCTCCTTCCCTCAGCCAGGGCAATGAAAATGGGTCGTGGATGGGTATTCTAGCATGACAATGACCCAAAACACACGGCCAAGGCAAAAAAGGAGTGGCTCAAGAAGAAGCACATTAAGGTCCTGGAGTGGGCTAGCCAGTCTCCAGACCTTAATCCCATAGAAAATCTGTGGAGGGAGCTGAAGGTTCGAGTTGGCAAACGTCAGCCTTGAAACCTTAATGACTTGGAAAAGATCTGCAAAGAGGAGTGGGACAAAATCCCTCCTGAGATGTGTGCAAACCTGGTGGCCAACTACAAGAAACGTCTGACCTCTGTGATTGCCAACAAGCGTTTTACCACTAAGTACTAAGTCATGTTTTGCAGAGGGGTCAAATGAGTTCTCTCATTAATATGCAAATCAATTTATAACATTTTTGACATGCGTTTTTCTGGATTTTGTTGTTATTCTGTTTCTCACTGTTCAAATAAACCTACCATTAAAATTATAGACTGATCATTTCTTTGTCAGTGGGCAAACGTACAAAATCAGCAAGGGATCAAATACTTTTTTCCCTCACTGTATATACAGTATATGTGTGTTATTCTGTGTTTATCCCGGATATTTTAGAGATGGCAATTCTCCTGCTGTGTATCCTACTGCTATCCCTTCCGGCCATGTCTAGTGCCACACTTAACTCTACAAACAGCTACCCTCGTTACTTTGCGTCCATACTTGTTGTTCGATTTGCCACTACACCTGCTAATGAAACAGCTCATAGACACTTCTACACTCCATCATTGTATCCTTTTAAACCCTATCTTTGTCCCATTACTTCACCAGCACTCCTTCCAAACTTCATTCTGCTCTTAAAATAACACCATCTGCGAGTTACTGCTATTTGTCCAAGGTTCGCCGCTCTTCATCCTTTCACAGAAAATACTTGTGCAAACTATTAATTCTACTTTTCTTATTTCTGGGCGGTATTGAGCTTCATCCTGGCTCAAATGAAAAGAACTCGTATAATTCTGTAGATTTTTCTGGCAGGAAAGGTGTTGGTGTTCTACATGTCAACATCAGAGGGCTTGTGATTAAATTAAGTCAACTAAAAGTAGAAATGGCAAATTTTGACCCGAACATTTTTTGCCTAACAGAAACATTTCTCACTCCTGCAGTCAATGACTTGCAGATTGCGATTGACAACTACAACCTTTTCCGGCTTGACCGAGGATCTAAAGGAGGTGGAATTGCCATCTATGTTCGTAATACTATTGCATGTTCACTAGCTCACTCCTTGTTTAAAAAATGTTGCTTTGAAGGTCTGGCTCTCCGAATAACTCTCCCAAATAATCAACAGATATTGGTAGTGTGCTGCTATCGACCGCCTAGTGGGAAGGATGTTGAAGCTGCATCTGCACTGAGAGAGCTTTTTGGGGGCCTCCCTAAAGGTGAAATAGTTTTAGTGGATGATCGAAATTGGAATTGGCTAAACCCGCCGGCCGTGGCCACAAATTTTACAGATGAATTTAATCTGTTTCAATAATAAATGTCCCCACAAGACCCAACCTAAAAAAATCTGGGACAGTCATCTCTGCTTGACGTCCTATTGACAAATGCCCCCACAATTTCACACTGACTGGTGTTCTGGGTAATAACCTTAGTGATCACTCCTTCATTTTTGGGGTGAGATCATCAGCCAGACCCAAAGCCCCCCCTAAATTGGTTGAGAAGCACTCTATGAGACACTTCAGCACTCAGGCATTTACTAATGATGTGCTTCACTCGGATATTGACAAGGTCTGTGATATCCCCAACCTGACTACGGCTTGGGAGACCTTCAGGTACACGTTTCTCCAAATTCTTAACAAACAGCTCCGTTGGTTAGGTTTAAAACTAAAGGCAACTGCCCACCATGATTTGATCCTTTGATTACAAAGCTCATGAAAACTAGGGACAAGGCTTGGGCATGTGCTCAGAAAAGTAATTTGGTCAATGACTGGCTAGAATACAGGATTTTAAAGAATAGATGCGTCAAAAAAATACGGCATGCAAAAATGCCTACTTTTCCTCCACTCTCCTGGAATCCCATGGAAATGCCAGGATTTTCTGGAAAACAATCAAATGTACCGAAAAGGCATCCAAAACAGACAATCTGCCCGTTGAGCTTAACCGAAATTGGGAATATTTTTTCAGATCCCCAAAAAATAGTTGACAATTTTTACCTTCATTTTTCTGAAGCTGGTAATCTTTTTGATAATGTATTGGGAGTCACCCCTGCTCATGCAAATTCCTACACCCCTGTCCAACCATTAAACGAATTTAGTTTCCAGCCAATCCACGAAAGTAATGTTCTGAAACAACTGTCCTACCTGAAAGGGTCCTCCTCTACCGGAGCAGAAAGTATTCCCGTCTTTGCTCTACTAACTGTTGGTCACCTAATATACAAACCTATAGCCCATATTTTCAACCTGTCCATCAAAGAAGCATCAGTTCCTCTAGAATGGAAACATTCCTATGTCCGTCCATTTCATAAAGGGGGCCCTAAAGATGATCCAAATAACTACCGACCTATCTCAATTTTGTCCCCGTTGATGAAAATTTTAGAAAAATGATTGACCTACCAAATTAGCAGTTTCCTGTCCACCAACAATCTACTACATCTAAAACAATCTGGGTTCCGAAAAAAATGCAGCACCACATCTGCTGCATTAGACTCTCTGAATCACATTTACAGTAGCCTTGATAATAAGCAGTACTGTGCCTGTCTTTTTCTAGACCTGTCCAAAGCTTTTGATACAGTAGACCACAACACCCTGCTTAGTAAACTAAGTTGCCTCTGTTTTTCCGAAAACGCAGTAAAATGGTTACAAAATTACCTCTTTTCTCGCACCCAAACTGTATTCACAGATGGTTGGAGGTCAAACAGTGTTAAGATAACAAAAGGGGTTCCACAGGGTTCCATCCTCGGCCCCCTTTTGTTCTCTCTTTATGTCAATGACTTGAGCATTGACCTGGATCATTCCAGGGTAAATCTTTTTGCAGATGACACGATACTGATTACTGCTGGCCGCTCTCCGGGTGACGTGATTGCTAAGCTACAGGGTGATTTCCACAAACTACAACATGACTTAGTTGCTCTATAACTAGTCCTGAATACATCCAAAATCAAGGTACTATGCTTCTCACCAGGACTAAATCAGGAAGTTATTTTTCCCCAATTACATTCCTTAAATAATTATCAAATAGAGCAAGTCAAGATCTATAAGTATCTTGGGGTCATCCTGAATTCAAAACTGAATTTTGAAGATCACATTGATTATATTGGTAAAATGACAAAAATAAAAATTGGTTTTCTGTATCGACACAAGCACTGCTTCCCCCCTCTGTTCCGTTTGGAATTGATAAAAGCTACCATACTGCCTCTACTTGATTACTGTGATATCGTGTATAAATCAGCCCCAAGTACTGTACTGAAGAAGCTTGATTCCATCTATCACTCGGCCTTAAGATTTACATTGAACTGCCCATATAGGACTCACCACTGTGATCTATACATGGGGTCAAACTTAACATCTCTTAATGTTCGACGGCATGTGCACCAGATCTTATTTATTCACGATCTACTTACAAAAAAATCCGCAGACTACCTGCTGGGTCTCCTCTCTGTTTCAAAGAACAAGTTTGACCTCAGGTCTTCGCTCATTTACCAGCTTCACATTCCCTATTGCCGTAAAAAACTGGAGGAAGGGCCTTTGCTATTGATGCCCCCAGGGTCTGGAATGCTATTGTCAATAAACTGCAACTTGAATCGCTACCAATGAGATCTTCTCTCAAAACTGCTCTAGAGGACCTACATCATTAGACCTCCTTTGCCAATACCAAAATGTAATAATAGGGTTTTTCCCCTTTTTTTCCTGGCAACAAAACTGAAACCTTTTTACAAGGATTCATGTCTGCATTAACCACAATACCTGCAGTCAAAATGCAAACAAAAAACATACTATGATAATATATGCATTGTCCTTGAATCAGTTTGGTTAATGGTTTGGTTAATGCAGACATGAATCCTTGTAAAAAGGTTTCAGTGTTTTTGCCAGAAAAAAAGGGGAAAACCCCTATTATTACTCTAGAGGAGTTGTACACCCTTAGCTGCCACTGCTATTCATTGGCGTAAAATAAAAGAAAATGTTTTTGCTCCGGATGACGCAGCAAAGTATTATCTGTATTTTGATTCAGCGTGCTGATCTTAAAGGTGCATTGAAAAATTTAATACTCAGACTAATGCTTCTGTTGTTGTGGAGTAACTCATGCAGCCAGCTATGGCTCTAGGATTTGGTGTTACATGTTATTTATGTAGTTTATTGTAACAATCCGGTCACAGTCATATGATCACTGTTACGTTGCAAATTATGGCTTTATTTTTTGGTGATTTCGAAAAGTTTTTTGGTTTGGACATGTTGGTTTTGTTGTAGTACGGAGTTAGACTGATGGCCTTAATCTAAGTTTTCTTGTGGTTGTTGTTTGACTTGCATCCCACTGGAATTTTTTTGCACACAGCGTTGGTGTACGGTGCTTTTTTCAGGAATATTCTGCTGGTTTTTTTCATGGATTTTCTGTTTGCACAGTCACATAGTCACTTTAAGATGTTTTTCTTGTTCGTGTTTTTTTTTTGTTTTTTGTGGTTGCACCGGATTCAAGAGCCGAATGGCTCACAGGGCTATACCAAAATAAATAAACTAAAAACTGAAACTTCTCGCCCCGGTCTCCCGCCCCGGTCTCCCGCCCCGGTCTCCACGTCTCCCACCCCGGTCTCCAGGTCTCCCACCCCGGTCTCCAGGTCTCCCGGTCTCCACGTCTCCCACCCCGGTCTCCACGTCTCGCGCCCCAGTCTCCACGTCTCCCACCCCGGTCTCCAGGTCTCCCACCCCGGTCTCTAGGTCTCCCACCCCGGTCTCCAGGTCTCCCACCCCGGTCTCCAGGTCTCCCGGTCTCCACGTCTTCCACCCCGGTCTCCACGTCTCCCGCCCCAGTCTCCACGTCTCCCACCCCGGTCTCCAGGTCTCCCACCCCGGTCTCCACGTCTCCCGGTCTCCACGTCTCCCACCGCGGTTTCCACGTCTCCCACCCCGGTCTCTAGGTTTCCCACCCCGGTCTCCACGTCTCCCACCCCGGTCTCCAGGTCTCCCACCCCGGTCTCCACGTCTCCCGGTCTCCACGTCTCCCACCCTGGTCTCCACGTCTCCCGGTCTCCACGTCTCCCACCCCGGTCTCCACGTCTCCCGGTCTCCACGTCTCCCACCCCGGTCTCCACGTCTCCCACCCCGGTCTCCACGTCTCCCGGTCTCCACGTCTCCCACCCCGGTCTCCACGTCTCCCACCCCAGTCTCCACGTCTCCCGGTCTCCACGTCTCCCGGTCTCCACGTCTCCACGTCTCCCACCCCGGTCTCCACGTCTCCCGGTCTCCACGTCTCCCGGTCTCCACGTCTCCCACCCCGGCCTCCACGTCTCCCACCCCGGCCTCCACGTCTCCCACCCCGGCCTCCACGTCTCCCACCCCGGTCTCCACGTCTCCCACCCCGGTCTCCACGTCTTCCACCCCGGTCTCCACGTCTCCCACCCCGGTCTCCACGTCTCCCACCCCGGTCTCCACGTCTCCCACCCCGGTCTCCACGTCTCCCGGTCTCCATGTCTCCCGGTCTCCACGTCTCCCGGTCTCCCGGTCGTCTCCCACCCGGCGCTGCTGAACACCACGCGCGGTTCTCCGGGGAGCTTTCCTGAGTTTCCCGGCATCCTCCGCGAGCCGCTTCCACCATGGCTGCCACCGCGGTGGGTGCCGGCGTGAGACGACCCGCGCGCGTTTCCACGAATTCCCGTCCAGTAACCACATAGACCGGTCACATTTTTTTAATTCTCTACAAAGTCGCGTTTTAAATTAATCCCCCGTGCAATTCACACCTTGACCGACAATTCCGTATCGAACGCCCGAGATGCCCAGGCGGGGCCTCTCCTCCGGCAGTGTGAAGGGCCTCGACTAGTAGACCTAGCCGGGCTGCCTTGCGCCTAAACCGTTGTGGCCGAGGTTAGTGGGGGGGGTGAGTACGGTTGTTGCGTCAAAGCAGCAATCTGATGCGTTTGTGCTGTGCTCGCCTGCCCACAGGCCGACATCCAGCACACGCTGGAGATGCTGCATATGACTGTGTTCTCACAGAGCTTCTCGCCGTGTGGGAAATACCTGGCGGCGGGAAACAGCTACGGACGCGTAGCGGTGTTCAGGTGAGCGCAGCGCGTCTTGGGCTGCCCGAGTGATCGACTGATTTGTATACTTGGCAGCAGCAGAAATGTGTTCAGGAGCTCGATGCCATTGTCAGGGTCAGCGAGTCACTACGAGAGGGCTTCAGCAGAGAGTTCATCTCGTTTTGCTGTGCCACCTCCGTGGAAGGAGCGCAGACCACAGTAATTTACTATGTGGTCCATAGTGTGGGTTGCATGGCTTGTCTTTAATTTTCCATTTATGAAGAGGAGATGTGTGCAAATTAAGGGCCAGCGAGGATCAAAGCTAGTTATGAGAAAGCTTTTATTTGAAAATGTGTTTTAGTCAACACTGAAAGGCTGATCTCCAACGGTCGAGAGATCCACATTCCGGAGGGCACCGCACTTAGCGAGTGCTGGATCTGTGTGGAATGTGATTACTCTTCTCCTTTACCTACTTCTTCTGACAGAATTGTTTAAAATATACATGTACACCCCCTGCGTTAACCCACTGCCGTATGGCCGGTTGTTTGACTACATGTACCTCACCAGTTCATTTGCAACAATAGATTGTGTTGCACTGCTCTCTGCGGCCCAAATTTAACACCTGCGAGATGCATGATGGTTCCACATACAAACACTGGCCAGGCTCAACGCCTGGTTAGCTTTTGAGATCGGGTGCATTCGATTAGATTACAAGTTATTCCTATACTCATTACACTCCTATGAGGTTTATCAGTTTAAATTCGTACCTTGTTAATTAATGTAATAATTTCTGCCATTTTGCTGAATATCTGCTACCCCTACTGTCTGGAACTCCCTTCCCCCACCTTACGTGCTGTGGACTCCCAGCCCCTGGCCAAGTCCAGGCTCGAGAAATAAATATGCCCACTGTTTTTTGTACAGCGTTTTGAGATGTGGTCACTTTCAAATGTTATATCTAAATTGTATGTCCACCTGTGTTGTCATGTAAAATTACTTGTACTTGGTTGTTTTTGGGCAGTGCTCCATCTTGAAAGAAGAGAGAACAGGGATTTTAATAGATTTATAGTTGCAGACTGCAAGTATAAGACGCAACAATAATTGCAGTGTCGGTGTATGCTTGTGGTTTATTCTTTTACACCAATATTAACACGCGTGTTTTTGTTATTTCTGTTAGAATTAGTTGTATTGTACAATGCAGTGATCTACAATGGTACTGGGTTGTTTAATAAGAAAATTAAACGCATTATGTTACTCTTTTGCAGTCTTAGCTTGGCGCTTGGTTTGGATGCCACGGAGGAGAGTCGAAAACCCATATACACCTTCACAGGTATTGTCAAGGCTCCTAGTGTTAACAGCACACAAACTCTCGTGTGTTATCTTCTTCTTTGGTTCTTTCGGTAAAGTCACGTAGAATGAGAATAAAATAATAAATTGATAAAATAAAATAACACAATAATATTCTCACGACGTTTCAGCCACAACACAAGCGGCCTTCATCAGGTGAAGGGGCGAGACTGTCTGGTAGGACAGCGCTGGAGTGAGAGAGCCACGTTCAGATCACGGCTTTTAAGCTGTGTGAGAGGAACAAAGAGCCTTGACAAAGGAATTAGCATATAATTTAGCATTGAAATGGCTGAATGATTAGCTTGTGACTGGTCACAGAAATAGCTATGTTAAAAGTTAAAGCATACACATCCGCAGAGGCACCCATTGTTAACAGGAATTAGCATAGAATTTAGCATTGAAATAGCTAAGTTAAGGCATACACATCCGCAGAGGCACCCCTTGACAATGGAATTAGCATAGAATTTAGCATTGAAATAGCTGAGTGATTCGCTTGTAACTGCTACAGAAATAGCTACGTTGAAGTCAGAGCATACACATTCACCGAGGCACTTAGTACAAATCAAACAGGAGAATTTAGCATTGAAATAACTAGGCGAATTTAGCATTGAAATAACTGAGTGATTTGCTAGTGACTGGTCACAGAAATGACTACACATCTGAGCTATTCACAGTACTATATAGTGAACCAATAAAAACTAAAATAAAAATTACCTTCATGTCATCAATAAACTCTATATTCTCCAATCAGCTAAGCTACCAACAATAAGTCGTTATATATCACAATGCTATATGGCGAAAAAATGGGTGGATTCTTACCCTCAAATTTCAGCACCACGGATAGCTACGGGCCCCGTTCAGACGGACGAGTTCGTCCATGGTCGGAACAGAGGAGGGGGAGAGAGACAGCTGCGAGGCCCTAGTATACTCCATGTTGTAAAACTATACCATTAACCGTGGTGTGAGAGGTATTAAGAGGCAATGCTGGTGAAAGAGCTGCGGTCTGAAGGTCATCGTAAAAATACGATTAATTAAGAACAGATTTAAAACATCTTTCCAGTGGTTACTAAGCCTGAATCCATCTTCTCGGTTGAAATTGTCTCTGTGCTTGTATATGTGAATGGCCTCATGAACGAATCTCTCATGGTAGCCGGTTGGTTTGCAATTCATGTGTTACCATAATCAATGCCACGCATCGGTGCATTTGCTCGTACCTGTACAAATCCTGTTCCTTAATCTTTTCTTGCCTGTGTATGTGTGTAATATAATGTTTGAGTAAGCACGCCGTTTAGCATGTAGGCTTTCGCGACCAATGTCATCCATCATAGAGGTTTTTGGGTTAGATCACGAAAATATATAAATGTGTCGTTAAAACCCGCCACCACCCGACACAGCCAACTAGTAAGGGTTGTGACATAAACAGAACATGCCAATTCGTCACTAGTACAGCACACCCGTGTGTTGGAGAGCTAAGCCACAACATTTACAATCTGAGTACAACATTTCGCCAGTTACCATCTCTTACGATCCTGCTATGTAATAATGCACCTCGTGCCAGCCCGCAAGCTGATCCTTTGCTGTATCTCCTCAGTGAATGTCCCCTCAGACACGTTGCATCCCTAGGCTGCTTCTCCATCATTACAGTCAGTTCACCGATCATATAATGCGTGTTGTTTTCATAATGCGAATCGGATATAACGCGATTAATGTATTAGGGAACACATTTTTTATAACGCGAATGTGAATTGCCTATAAGGCGATTGACTGAACAAAACTTCGTCACGCAAGTAGGAATAAGCGGCTGCCTCAGAGTAGCATCACACAAGGCGGGATGCTGCTGGATGTTTCTAGATGCTACCTTCGCGCCTCAGTCTTTGTTAAACCTGCGTATGCATCTCACGTGTTATCGCAGACTGTGCTTTACCCTATATTATATATGATTTATAACCTGATTTTTCGATAACGCGGTGTTTTTCAGGAACGTAACTACCGCGTTATAGGAGAACTGACTATTCTTGACCATCGGCCGTCATCCCTTCTTGCAACGTGTGCTTCCCAAGCCCACTTGATTTTCTTAACAGTTAGAATGATGTTGGTAACCTGCGTATATTTTCTAATTGTATGTGTTCTTTGCAGGTGCTAATGAATTCTTTACAGCTCTCTGTAGAAGCATGTATGACGAAGTGCCTGTGGTGTGTGTGTGTGCGTGTGCATAATGGAAGCACATGAGAGTCCAGTGTACAGCCTTGTTTCTACGGATCGGCTGCTCATAAGTGCCGGCAATGGATTGGTGAAGGCCTGGAACTGGAGCGACTTGATTAAGAAGGTAAGGGTCTGTGAAACTAGATGAAAAGCTGGATATAGGCATACCTTATATGAACAGGGCCCCATAGTTTAAATGGAGTTTCCCTTGCCAATAGCATCTAGTGACTCGGCAGCATTCGTTGAACAAGTCTCATTCTGCAGATTATACCCACATGTTCCAATGCTCTTCTGCGGTCATCTAAACACTCTTCCGATATTAGGAAGCCACTGGAGCTATGCACTTTCAAATCTTGATTGAAAACTAATTTCTTTAGAACTGCTGTTTGTGTTTAGTTTGTTGTCCTTCCCCCGCACCTCCTATTAGCACCATTGGCTACGTACGTTGCGAAAGAAGTTTAACAAACATACATGAGGGCCTCCCTACGCCGGGCGGGTCGTGGGGGGTTATCTGACGAAACTTCACCTCGCTGGTCAGTGCGGGTTGGTGAAGACGGGAATCGTATACAGTATCATAAAATGTACAGTACAGCAATTGATGTTGCTGTACTGCTTTCTCAAGTCTGCCATCCCTGTTAACGTTCTTTCATTTCCACAGAGTTGGAGCGTCCTCGCATGTGTAGTTTTTTTTCTCTATAAACTCAAAGTTTTTTTGCCCAACATTCTTAACATTGAAAGCTAGAATCTTCCTTACAAAGGTCTTGAGGCTCTGAGGTTCTCGGGGATTAAATGACTATCAGTATTTAAAGTTGCCGCTGAAAGGCAGCGTTTTGACGTGCAAGTGACAATGATGGTGATTATGTTGCAGACCGCAAAGGAGGTGTGGTCAAAGCAACCGCCTTACAAGTAAGCCTTACATTCACTAAATACGTATTACGTTTGGTTGTCTTTTTCTTGGGTTTATCCAGGTTATGCTATCGGTATCAGTGGAGGCTGAGGCATGTGGCCCGTAATCCCAGTGCCGTGGAGGCAGCGAGGGTTGGTGGATCGCACAACTGTTGCTAAATGCCCTTTCCGTGGTCATTGAGGTGTCGCACTTACTGGACATCTGTGAAAAATAGCTTTATCGCTCATCCGATTCCTCCAGTATAACTTAAAGATTATGATTTTGTACCCTGGCTCCCCATCAAAATGCATTTAAGCAAATTTCACAGAAATCGACATCTGTTCATCTGTATGGGGATAGACTGTTGCGTCCTCGCATATGTGAGGTTCCTTCTGGGTGCTCCGGTTTCCTCCAACATGTATAAACTGTTCTTTAATTAACTGAAAATATCTTAATATATAGAGGACAACAGATTTCAGGCAGTTGTTGGCATTGGCTCATCACCTAGCTGCCATCCAGCTCGTCTGTGGTTCCTCAGCTTTTGCAGTTTACATGGACGATGGTAGCACGACATATATAAAACTACACTTATTATTATGAGACAAAGTACCTTCCACTCGGATCACTCGCAGAACATTCCACAATAGCCCGCGAGAGTGAATGTCACAGAGCTACTTCAAATGGCCCTCTGCTCTCCATAAATAGTTACCATTTAAAGTATAAAGAAGTATAACATTGATGTATATTGATTAATGACTGGTTAAATCATGTACATAAGGTATGCATTGAAACGTTTAAAACTGAAACTTAACTTCAATTGAAAGCTAAAATATTTACATTAAATGGGATAGGTGATTGGCCAAGCCGTCATCTTGCTTGCCTTTAAACTTGTTTAGGCTGAGTTGACAGATTCCCAATAAAAGTCCATGGCAATTTATAATAATTGTATATATTGCATAATCTTTAGGTCTTTCGGTAAAGCCACGTAGATAGAACAAATAATAAAAAATATGACGTTTCGATCGCAACACAAGCAATCGTCATCAGGAGAGAAATATGGCGGGAGAGCTGCTGAGAATATATTGTGGGAGCGCTGCTAAGGTAAGGAGTTATAAAGGTTTGGGATGGGTGAAGCCCATAAATTATTTAAATTGCATCTCAAAAAGCTGAACATTGCAAACTACGTTAAAGTACGCTCTCTACTATATACTGAACTGTTTTTAGTGCTGCCAATATTAATCGACAGATATGTGTTGGTGTATTCATGTCAAATAATTTATTAAATAATTGACACCTCTTATATCTTGATTTAAAGCTTTCGTGACTGCAGTGATTCATATTCATGGTTCTTTCGGTAAAGTCACGTTGAAGGGAAACCATAAAATATATATATAAAACAATAAAATTATCACGACGTTTCGACTGCAACACAAGCAGTCATCAGGTGTGAAAACCAACGGCACCTGATGATGACTGCTTGTGTTGCAGTCGAAACGTCGTGAGAATTTTATTGTTTTATATATTTAATTTTTTCCCTTCAACGTGACTTTACCGAAAGAACCAAGACTATACCTCTTATATCGTTCCACTGTTGTATGAAGGTCCACCCATCTCTTATTGGTCATGGGTGGGTTTGACCATACTTCACCATGCTGGTCAGTGTGGATCGGCAGAATCTTAGGGCCGGTTCAGATATCGCTCATCACTGATGTTAGCCGTGGCCAGGAATCGAACTTGGAACACCAGTTTCATTGCGCAGTCTGCTAGCTAGCGTGCCACCGCTCCTCCTATCTAAAATCGCAGTGTTAAAATATATATCTGCAATTGTAAAATTAATCACTAACCTCTCTTTTTTCCCTGGAATAAACGTCGTCTTTGCAAAATTTGAAACCCGGATCCAGATTAATGTTTTGGCGGCAAGGAATCGTTAGCTGAATTTTAGAAATAAAACTGTAAAATGCCCTAAATGTCCAGTGTTGACAATTTGCTGAGCATCAGCGGGATACTTCTTCAGTTTCATTTCAGTTTTCAGTTTCATTAATTTGGTATAGCCCTGTGAGCCATTCGGCTCTTGAATCGGGTGCAACCGCAACAAACAAAAACATGAAACATCAATCAACCTGAGCGTGGTGACGTCACCACGCAGCAGCACATCAATCAACCTGCGGCAAACAATCTAAGCGCGATGACATGACCACGCAGCGGCGCTCCAATCAACCTGAGCGTGGTGACGTCACCACGCAGTGGCGCTTAAATTAACTTGAGCACGGTGACTTCACCACACTGGCGCTCCAATCAACCTGAGCGTCATGACGTCCCTCACGCAGCGGAACTCCAATCAACCTGAACGTGGTGACGTCACTACGCAGCGGCGCATCAATCATCCTGAGCGTGGTGATGTCACCACGCAGCGGCAGTTTCAGTTTTTTCTTACTACGAATATGCGAGTCGAGCTTGAGATATCAGCAATGGACTCTCAATGCCACGTTTTATTTTTCTGAAAAAGAAAAATGTCACAAGCAAAAGTGCCCTTCGTTTGCCTTCGGTGTTGGCAGGATGGGAGTGGACGTACCTGAGATCAACGCTCTTCTGCTGAATGAGAAGGCAAGACAACCATCGCCCCCTTTGTCTTGTCACTGATTAATCTCTTTATGATCATAATTTTTTTCATCTGTGTCAGTCCACTGCTGGGTGAAAGCTTCCACAGTGGTATGTCGGTCATGAGGGGGGGGGTAGCGAATCTGCTGCTTGATGCAGAGGTTTGTAGTTCAACAATACTGGGGGTGTGTTAACAATTATTACTTCACCTGCTTCACAGTGGACGTTCAGGGTCCCATCATGTTATACGAATATTCAAAAGAGAGTAAGCCATTGTGTAAATTGTCAAATAAAAAAGTAATGTAATAACGTAATAACAAATTGCAACATCGTCCGCTACGGGCGGACACATGCCCACTTGTAGGCCGGTGCTGCATCAGCTTTGTGCTGCACTGAGGCAGCATTTTCGATTAGTGTGGTTGGCTACGTACTGTGCAAAATAAATTAAACATACATACATTATCCGCGGTCTCGGTCCTATTTGTGGTCATCTGCCATTTTTTCACGGAAGGCGGAGTTGCGCAGGAAATTCATCCTATTATTTGCGCCTATCCACTGATTTTATATCTGGGATAAGTGGAGTAAATTTGCTGAAAATAGGATAAGAGAAGTTCTGCAAAACTACATCTGGGCATTGGAATGATTGAGGTGAGATGCGACGCGAGGTGCATCGAGATGCTAAGGCATTTGAACGAGAGACACAATGTATGCGACTTCTAACCATAATGAGGTCGTGGTGGTGAGCCAGAGCAGCGCTTTAACTGCGGATCTCGCGAGCGCAAGCTCCACCGATCCTGACAACTCCCTCATTCTGTTTTTGTTTGTGGTCTGCTGCAGGACAACTCGCTGTACCTGGGCTGTGGAGACTGCAACGTGTACAACATGGATCTCGAGTCTGGCACATGTAAGGTAAGCAGCCATGCCAGAGTACCCACGCAAGTGCACGGTTATGAAAGGTGAGCAGCCATTGTAAACTTGGCAGCGCAAGAAACTAGTTTTAGGCTTATCAGCTGGGAAGAGATTCTTTACTTCAAGAATTAATGGGTTATTATTTATATTTAAGACTTGAGGGTTCGGTAACTAAGAACTTTGGTGTTTGTCTGTGGTGGTTAAGTTACTAACGCGCTCTGATTTTAGAATTTAAATGTTCTTGACTTTGTTGCCACTGTTTCTTCCGACGTGCACAAAAAATACGAGGAATTTGCCAAATTCCGTGAATTCTTAGAATAAGCCGTGAGGCTCTGTGAGCTTTCACTGAGTAAAAAAATATATGCGTGTGTGTTTATATACTATACATAGTGGGGAGCAGTACTGTAGCGGTTAGCGCTGCGCTACTGAACCTGGCGACCCGAGTTCGATTCCTAATCACTGCCAATAACAGTGACTGCGAATATATTTCAATCGGTGCTGGGCCTCCCCTAGCTTGAACTCAACCTCAATGGAGCATCTCGTGCGATGTGTAAAAAACATTGGCATTAGGGAGACAAAGGCGGCCGGGCGTGATCCTGACCACCCACCCCCTCATGTGCTGTGACGGCTTTCATAGGTGCTCGCTCACAGCACTTGCCCCAACAGTCTGTTACAGACTATGAGGGGGATCTTTGTCTTTGTTGTATATACTATATATATCGGTTTATATGGGGATCCCTTGCATGCAGAAATGTTATGTTAATGCTGAGCGAATTTTTTCGGAAAATAAGACAATGCATTATGCCGTGTGTGTGTGTAGCGGTGGGGGCGCAGTGGTAGTCTACTTGTTAAACTGAGTGGTAGCCTCGTGGTTAGTATATCGGGCTACGAACACGGCGACCCGAGTTCGATGTTGAACTTCTTTTGCGCAGTACGTAGCCACCCACGATAATTGGAAGTGTGGGAGAAGGACAACAAACTAAACACAAAAAGCAGTTCTAAAGAAATTCGTTTTCAATCAAGATTTGAAAGCGAATAGCTCCAGTGGCTTCCTAATATCGGAAGGTAGAGTGTTCCAGATGGCCGCAGAAGCACATCTGAAAGCACGCGATGCAGTGACCAGTGCGGTGTATAAACATCAGCACCGGGGAGACAAAGGTTGCCTGGGCGTAGTGCGAGCCACCCACCCCGCTCATGTGCTGTGTTGGCCTTCATAGGTGCTCCTGGATAACAGCACCTTCCCCACCAGTCTGTTCAAGTCTATCGGGGCGGGGGGGGATTTTTGTCTTTGCGTGTGAGAGCAGCTTTTCCTGGAGGGCCACACAGACTACGTGCACTGTCTGGCGCTCAGAGACCATGTGAGCGAGGTGCTCTCGGGCGGGGAAGACGGCACTGTAAGGCACTGGGGTAAGAAAATGAGCCGCGCCCGAGGGGGGGGGATTGGTGAGAGAGGTGGTCACTGGGGTGGGCTGAGAAAAATAGGCTGTGCCACTAGGAAATGCATGTGACCAAAATCAGCTGGAATGCATCCGGTCTTATCCGATCTCAAGCTAAGGGGTTTGAGCCTCGATAGCACTTGGATGGGTGACTGCCATGTGTAGCAGGTGTTAGGTTTCGGTAGCAGAGGGCAGTGTAGCAAAATCAAATGTTGCCTCCCACTTGTATGTGCTCGCCAGTTTCAACGATGAGAGCAAGCGCTAGGGTTGATGAGAGAGTTGGAGGACACTTGTCCAGAAGGGCCGCCCCATGCCGTGTCGTACATGGGGGTTGTCTGAGTATACTTTACCTCGCTGGTCAATGCGGGTTGATGAATGAGTCCAGATAAAACTGGCCGCCACGTGTGTTAGCCGTGGACCACAATGGAACTTCGACCACCGGGTTCATAGCGCAATGTACAAACCACTGCATCTCTGCTCCCCCGCCCAATGCCAGTTTTGTTATGAGTAATGACATGGCTTGACATATGCTACCACAAGCAAATGACATGTTTTTGGATATTTCGCCACAACGAGAAGAACATTGTCAAATTCTTAATTGGTCCATGACCTCAACCTTTGCAGATGTCAGGACCGGAAACCTCGTGCAGTGTGTGGAAATCTTCAAGTATCAGGTCAGAGGGCACACTGCCTCATTTGTAATCGCGATTTATGGTGATTGCGCGATGACCACGGATGGCGGCGACCGTGTGTAATTGATGATAATGACACGTTTATAACACATAATTAACATCTGGACAGGAATGTGCCCGGTCTGAGTTTGGAAAGTGGATTGGTTGCTTGGCTACGGACTCCGATTGGATGGTAAGAGCAATGCCGCTGGCACCTCACACTGTTGTCACAACCAACAGCGACACCATCACTGTGAGATGTTAACGACCTCGCCTATTATACAGGAGGTTGTGGGTTTGATCCCGACGCTGACGCCTGTTGTATATATAGAGTTTACATTGTCTCCTCGTGGTCACGTGGATTTTCCCTCTGAGTCCTCCGGTTTTTCGCTCTACATTTAGAATCATGCTTGTAGAGTATAGTGTGTGCAGTAGAAATGTGTGTTTGCCTTACCTAGGGACAGCTCTAGTGGCGTGAACAGGCAATTGCAGGGCTGCACATTTATCTTTATGAAGCAAATTTGATTCACGATCCTCGCGTTTCTTTGACCAGGTTGCTCTACATCAGCGGTGGCCAATACACCAAGCGGTGTTGATGATCCATGCTGGTGTGGATCTTGGCGGGCTCCACGATCCACCACCAGAAAGTGTTGACCAAACAATCACCCAGATTTAATAAATTCTTTAGTTGGGAGATTGTTATTTGCCTGTAGCCGTAACAATAATGTTCTGTCTGCTGATGGAAACGCTTCTTCCGAATCGTCCTGAGATGCACCACAACGTTTCCCGCGATTGTGATCCACGTGTGGGCCACTGCCGCTCAACGTGGGGGTGACAACGTATCGCCACGTCCTGTTGTCGCTACGCATGCACATTGTGGGATTCATCACTACGAGGCGCACAGCGATCGGCGAGCCACTGGACACCGGCACTCCGGATTCTCCAGAAACTAACAAACTATTTTTAATTTTCTCCGGGTCCTTCGGTTTTTCCCTCCACATTTAGAATCAACATGCGATGAGAGTTTATGGTAGCTATACATTTCCACATAAGCTAATTCGTTGAGCGATCATTTGCGGTCAGGTCGTTTATGAAAAAGAGCTATACAGCTCAGTGGGCCTTACCTGGTAAAAAATGTATAATTTCTAATTAATTTTATTTTGTTTAGTTTTACTTTATTACCGCAACCGCTACCAACGTGGCCACCAACTACACCGTTATCCATTCTGCCTCCACCCACACCTTAAACACCAATGACTCGTTCCTCTGGCCTCTTGCACATGCTGTGAAGAAGATCCGTTGGCGAAAACCGTCACCCTTTATACAAATTTACTTTTTAGAACAGTGTTGTTGACAAATGCGATGAGGTTTTTTATATATTTGTGCTCGGGCACCACTGTCAACACAGCAAAATCGCCAAATCATTTGTTAATGTTAGGGAGAGTTGTGTTAGCGAGCACCTGTTACGAGGGTCACTGATTTGTAATGGCCATACAAGTATGTTAAACTTCTTTCGCACCGTATGTAGCCAACCATGCTAATCGGAGGTGCGGGGGAAGGACAATACATACATCGTCACCCCTGCCCCAGCAAGATCCCCTCAGCTATTGCAAAGTGTGACATCCAGCTACAACCAGAAGGGGGCATCTGTATTTTGTGAGCGTCATTAAAGATGCCGATCGTTATCGAGACTTTCTTGTGGTTACCACCCAAGGTAGTGATTTGTTAACAGAAACTGATTCATTTCCATGGTTAACAAGGGTGAGTTACTTGAAACCCCACTCATTTCAAGTGATCATCACATAATTCACCGTTATTGGCCACATTAAGAAATTGGAAACTGCGAGAGTGATACCGCCTCAAGTGGAACCAGGGGGTGAAGCATCTGCCCTGGGTTCATGGAACTATCAGCGCCATCGCCTGAGTACTCTGCCTTGTTAGTGCAGGACCACCTACCAAAACAACATCGCTCTTGACGTTACTTTCAAGTTATGTCCATTAAAAGTGTGCCCTTTGTTAAAACGTTTATACTGATTTGAAGCTTTCGTGACTGCAGGTATCCATAATCTTTGGTTCTTTCGGTAAAGTCACGTAGATATAAAATAAAATAAATCATGACGTTTCGGGCGCAACACAAGCGTCCATCATCAGGTGGGAAAGCATGGTCTGCTGCTGACCTTGCCTCAGCAGCAGACCATGCCTCAGCAGCAGACCATGTCTCAGCAGCAGACCATGCTTTCCCACCTGATGATGGACGCTTGTGTTGCGCCCGAAATGTGATTTATTTTATTTTATACCTACGTGACTTTACCGAAGGAACCAAAGATTACGTTTATACTGACTTGCTGGTCATATTTACCCACCTACTGCTGCTACTGCTGCTGAATGACGCACCTACAGCAACTCCTTGTTTAACGCGGTAGATACATTCCTGAAAAGTGCCGCATTAAGCGAAACACGCTTTTGAGCGAAAATAATTTCCCCATAAATAAAGTAACGAGAAAGTTTGGTGAGATACAATGTACGCACACACACCGTGAGATGGTGGGACAGATAACTGAGGGTGCGCTGCAGCAGTACTGTATCATTCCACATACCGTATCACTCCGCTCAGTCGCACTGCTCAAGAAAGTAGTTCGTCATCGACCGCTCAGAAACCATGTTATAATGGTGCGCGTTCCGCATTATGACGATGTGCGTTGTGCAAAAAGTGTTCCCTAATTGAAGAACCGCCATTAAAGCAAAAACGCGTCATGTGAGCGCCAACGCGTTAAGCGAGGACTTACCGTATCTCTCTGACCCCCCTCGACTCCCTCCTGACCCCCGTCCCCCTCTCCCTCGTCGCTTGTGCGTTGCCCCGACGCTGCGGACGTGCGCGTGAAGATCTGCGGTGGGGGACCCGCGCTCAGCCTGTGGCACCTGCGCTCGCTCACCCCCACCACGGTCTTCCCGCTCAACGGCTCTCACCATGCAGCCATGTTTCACCAGGACCTGGTGAGAACACGCCGGGGGGGAGGGGCGGGGGCGGGTTGGGGGTACCGAGCAATCTGCTCGTGTTCTACGTCATTACTTTGACGGCTAGCAAATGTCGCCTGACTTGGAAGCACCTCCGATTAGCACGGTTTGCACCTCCAATTAGCACGGTTGGCTACGTGCAATGGGAAACAAGTTCAATGTACATACATACCTGGGCAACTTTGTTTTGAGGTTTAACAGTCTCAACGCAAGACTCCCGTCCATTTTCCGTACGTTCCAATTCCATGTGTCCCCCCCCAGATCATCTCGGCTGGTTCGGGCCACTCCATCGACCACTGCCAGGTGAACGGGGAAGTCCGCGCGCGCATCCCGGTCTCCACCCCCTCTGTCTACTCTCTCCAAGTCAACCACAACTCCTCCGAAAACAAGGTGGCGTCATTTCTCTGTTCAACCCTTCCACAATTCCGGCCCGATTGTGTTATCGGCCTCATGTCACACGATGTGGCGGCGATCCAGATCGCTTGTAGACCGCCGCATTCCTTCATCTTTGAGAAAGAGCTTGTGGAAGCAGATGTTGTAGAGCTACCTCTGAGATCGATTCAATTGACTTCCGGGCCACCTTTCTACGTGCTCTGCGCACAGGAGTAATGGTTCTTCGCATGATGGTGGTGAAGTATGGTCAAGTATACCCTATGGCGGGAGTGGAGGCCCTCCTCCCACGGTGATCCGATGGGACGCATTGTACACGTCGCTCGTGCGCTCGTGCCCGGGATGGGAGCACCGGAAGGGTCCGTCGTCGCCGTCTCCAGCCGATTGAGACGCCGTCTGTTGCGGTGGCGCCACTTGTTGCCGCGCGCGGTGCCCCGTGTACTCTGGTTATCTGGTTATCAACCAGAGTCGACTATTCAGTTTGGACAATGAATATGAACCTTGATTTAGTTTTTTGTTGCTTTGTCTGCTACAGGTTCTATCTGCTGCTGGTAGCAGCCACAAGCTGGAGGTGTTTACCAACCTTGGGTACCGGGCCTTCTGCCTCGCCTTCACCTAGCTCACAAATAACAACAAACGCACAACACATTCATCGATAACACCGTGTGTGGCCCTAGGTGACGTTTTGGGCAATGGCCCTTCTTCATGACGTTTGACAAAGATGTGATATGCAACAAAACGTCGCCGAATTATAGACGCCTCCTTTTAAGGCCACCGTGTTATTTGATGAACGTATTGAGTTATTTTGTTATTTGTGCTTGTGTACCACTGCCACTGCAGTATCACGAAATAGCCCACACAGACAAAGATTTTCACGTACAGCCTCTAACAGATTGTTCGGTTGGCAAGTCCCAACCTAGCTCACATACTCACACACTCAGACAAAAATCCCCCGTATAGGCTTACCAGGATGTTGGGGCAAGTGCTGTTAGTGAGCACCTATGAAACCCAACATGGTGCAAGAGGAGGTTGGGTGGCCAACATCAAGCCTAGCTTCCTTTGTCTACTCAGTGCTGAAGTTTAATACACCACACCAGGTACTCTCTTAAGCCTGAGTCGACCTCGGGTAGGCCCAGAATAGGTTCAAGTATCCGTCACTGATGTTGGTCATTAGCGGGAATCAAACTCAAAGACAAACATCCCCTGTATGACCTTTAGCAGGCTTTTGGGGCAAGTGCTGTTTGCGAGCACCTGTTACGGCCTTCCTTACACTCACAACATAGGCACATGCCCCAGCACATGTACGTTTAGCGTGCGTGTGAACACCGAAGGTCACATACATGCACGGGTGTGAATACAGGTATCATCGACTCGTTATTACGATGGCACCACTAGTAGACCCAGGGGAAAGTTTGCTACTCTACAATTGTGTTCACTCGAACAGGTTTAATAGTAATTTGAACTGTGCCTTGCAACAACACACTCGAGAACGTTAACGCATCATCGCTGGGTATGTGAGCATTTGTGCTTGTACAGACCTCATCAAATGCTAAATACATTACACACGGGTACGTGTGCACGGTGTTAACTCAAAATACCAGCTAGGATTGGATGTTTTGTAGCACGTGTGTGCGTGATCGTTATACGCCATGTGATCTCTGTACGAGGGCGTAAGTTAACACGAGAGAGCGACCGCTTTCTTTGCGGCTACACTCGGGACAAATGGGGGGTCTCTATGAGCATGTATCTCTGTAGCGAGGTGATATCGCAAGTGCTGTTGTGCGTGCGCGCGCGTACATTACACTTGTACACGCACAACCAGGGGACTCTTCGGCATGGGACCAATGTGATAACCAAGGTTGAAGTTCATTTTCTTGAACCTGTGTTGAACTCAAAAGAGACCAGCATAGCGGGGTCTCATTTGCAAGAGAGATCTGCTGGGTCACTAGAATATCAAAAAGAAAATCAAATACAAATCAGAAGAGAAGTGTGCTTATATAGTAACATACGAGGGTCCTAACCCTGGATGATTGTAAAAGATGGGCCAATCACTGCCAAGAGTCTGGAGCCGTCATTGCAACTTCTGGCAAAAAAAGAACGTTTCGCTTTCAAACTTTCTGTAAACCAAAAGTGGATGTTCGCCTTGCGATGCCTTTGTATGTCACTCCACAAACTTGGCACAACATTCGTACCCACGTCTGAGAGATCTTTCACCACATCCGGAAAAGCGTACGTTGTTGACACACCACTCGTCAGATTCGTTTTTGTTTATAATAAAAATGTTGTTTTAGATTGCGGTAGACGAGTCGATACTGTGCAGAAAACCACTTGACGAGCGCATGCACTCGCACAGCTGCGTGCGTGCGATGTGAGAGAGCATTGTTGTGTGTTGGTCCATATGTGGGGCACCATGGTGACGAGATGTTATCTCCCTCGCCTGGTATACAGGAGTTCGCGGGTTCGAGCCCGACCCTAATGCCTGCTGTATATTTGGAGTTTGCACGTTCTTCCCGTGGTTGCGTAGATTTTTCTACGGGTCCTCTGGGTTTTCCCTCCACATATGTAAACGTGTGTTTAGATTACTTGGCTGCTACACATGTCCACGTGATAAGCCACTTTGTTGAGCTGTCATTTGTGGCCAGGTCGCTTCTGAAAAAGAGCTACATAGCTCAATGGACTTTACCTGGTAAAAAATATAATATTACGTAGTTTAAAATAGCAGTATGCGTGTGTAACAAGTGGGGAGCAGTGGTGCAGCTGTTAGTACGCTGTGCTTCCAACCCGACGACCCGAGTTCGATTCCCGCTCATGGCCATCACCAGTAATGATTATCTGAACCGTTTACTGGACCTCGCCTAGGTCGATGCAGCCTAAAATGAGTACCTGGTGCAGTGTATTACCATCGTCAATCCGCCGCTGGATAAAACTGTCTCAATCACAATCCTGCGATGTAAATGATGCAACCCAGCGGTAGCGCTGCATTCGCCGCTCGTTGCAGAGTTTCACGGTTCGAAGCCAGCGGCAGCCCTGGTTGCCCCTGCGGTGCCGAATTAACCATAATCCCACACAGTCTACTTCACCCACGGTGGGCGTTAAAGGTCCCGTGACGTCATTCGCAAGAGGAGGCCAAGTGTACGAAATGAGAGATGGATGTGGCTGGGTGCCAAAATAGTTTGCAGAACAGCGATGTTCTGGACTTTCGGATACAACGAAGTGTGGAACGGGGGTGACTTGGCAGGCACTCGTTCCTGTGCTCATCAACAATCTCGGCCCAAAATGAAAATTTTATATTTTTAATGATTTTATCAGGTAAGACCCACTGAGCTGTATACCTCTTTTTCAGAGGCGACCTGGTGACAAATGGTAGCTCAATGAAGTGGCTTGTGTGGAAATTTACAGCAGCCAAATAGTCTAAACACACGTTGATTCTAAATGTGGAGGGAAAAAACAGGATCCGGAGAAAAGTCCACCCGACCACCGGGAGAAAAAGATGGAATCTTCTTTGGTTCTTTCGGTAAAGTCACGTAGAATGAGAATAAAATAATAAATTGATAAAATAAAATAACACAATAATATTCTCACGACGTTTCGGCCACAACACAAGCGGCCTTCATCAGGTGAAGGGGCGAGACTGTCTGGTAGGACAGCGCTGGAGTGAAAGAGCCACGTTCAGATCACGCCCTTTAAGCTGTGTAAGAGGAACAAAGCGCCTTGACAAAGGAATTAGCATATAATTTAGCATTGAAATGGCTGAATGATTAGCTTGTGACTGGTCACAGAAATAGCTATGTTAAAAGTTAAAGCATACACATCCGCAGAGGCACCCATTGTTAAAGGAATTAGCATAGAATTTAGCATTGAAATAGCTGAGTGATTAGCTTGTAACTGCTACAGAAATAGCTACGTTAAAGTCAGAGCATACACATTCATCGAGGCACTTAGTACAAATCAAACAGGAGAATTTAGCATTGAAATAACTAGGCGAATTTAGCATTGAAATAACTGAGTGATTAGCTAGTGACTGGTCACAGAAATGACTACACATCTGAGCTATTCACAGTACTATATAGTGAACCAATAAAAACTAAAATATAAATTACCTTCATGTTATCAATAAACTCTATATTCTCCAATCAGCTAAGCTACCAACAATAAGTCGTTATATATCACAATGCTATATGGCGAAAAAATGGGTGGATTCTTACCCTCAAATTTCAGCACCACGGATAGCTACGGGCCCCGTTCAGACGGACGAGTTCGTCCATGGTCGGAATAGAGGAGGGGGAGAGAGACAGCTGCGAGGCCCTAGTATACTCCATGTTGTAAAACTATACCATTAACCGTGGTGTGAGAGGTATTAAGAGGCAATGCTGGCGAAAGAGCTGCGGTCTGAAGGTCATCGTAAAAATACAATTAATTAAGAACTTCAAATATACAGGCGTCAGGGTCGGTATCGAATACACGACCTGTATACTAGGCGAGGTAGTTAACATCTCGCCACCGTGGTGCCCCGAGCCACCTGGGTCTGTCAACCCCCCCCCCCCACCGCCGTAAAATCAACCAGCCCTCACCGATCTCCACGCTTAGATGGCAGGGCTACACGCAGCCTGGCAGAGGCTCTGTAAAGACGACATCACCGCCAACTTCACTGCTATGAACGGTGGCTGTGTTTAAGTCTGTGGAGGTGTTTCGTTACACGTATGTTACGCAGTGCCTTTGCCAATCAATTGCCGGATGAAGGCTCCCTCCCCAGGCCGTCGCACGCGGTGCTGAGATGGCACGATCCATCTCAGTCCTGCACGTGAGCGTCGCCTCATGCGCGCTCTCTCCTTGGGCTGCCATTCCATCACCAGTCTTGTCTTTCGGCCGTCATCCCGTTCAGCCGTGATGCATCCGGCCCAATCCCCATTGACTGAAGAAGCTACCCATGCACATCATTTGGCGATGCTGCTGCGTTGGCAAGTGGTGCACAAGCATGAGTGACAAAAACAAAACGCAACATGATTGTCACTAACACCGTGTGGCCTTAAAAGAGAACATATAATAGGCGACATTTCGGGCAATGTTCCTGCATATGCTATGAAAATAAATACATAATAGGCGAGGTTTCGACCAATGGTCCTTCATCGCAGAATGTTACCGATGTATTTTTCCTTTTAAAGACACAGTGTTGTTTTTGACGAACGCGTGGAGTTCTTTTTAATTGTGCTTGTGCAGCACCACCAAATGAGTTGTAGTTTTAATGCTGCATTGTGCTAAGTGTGGTGATTACGATTTGGGGTGACTGCGGATAAGAGGACTGTCGCATGAGTAATCTTTCTCAGCAGCGCGATAGAGGAGTCGGCGCTGCAATACAATAACAGCGCCATGTGGCACACGCACGGCGCAACTGGCGCGTGTTAAACGTGCAAGCTGCGCGCGGGCTGATAATGCGGCTGTTGAGAATGGGGAGGGGGGGGGGCATAGGGGGTGCAGGAAGGAGGGGGCCAAGGTGGAGAGGGCATGGAAGCTGCCGGGGGGGAGGGCACGGGGTGTGCGGAGGGAGATGTTGAGCGGTCGCAATGCGGGGTAGAAGGCGTGGAGCGAAACGTCGGACAGCATGCCCAAAGACACGTGACGCCACCAGAGAACGCATCGCAGATAGTTGGTCAGCACAGGCGCGAAACGCCTACCCAGCCAGTGCTGGAAATTCCACATTTCTACGGCGGGGGTAGTCATTCCACAGGGCACCGTTAAATTTGCAGTGGGAAGTTGATGGTGGCCGCCCAAAGTAAGTTTATTGTGTTGACCTCGGGAGAGATGATGGGCTGAACTCTGGCCCCAGCTCCACCGGAGCTTCCAAACAAAGACAAAGGTCCCCCATATAGCCATAAGAAACAGACTGTTATGGCAAGTACCGTTGGCGAGCACCCATGAAGGCCGGAACGGCACATGAGGAGGTGAACACTTTGAGACTAGGCTCAAAAGAAAACTGTTTCTGGTGTGATCTAATCAGTTTCAAAGACAATGCATATATTATCAGAGCATGTTTTTTGTTGGCATGTTCACCACAAGTACGTGTGGTTAATGCAGACACGATTCCTTGAAAATGTATTCTGTTTGGTGTTTTAACATCTTAACATCTGTTTCATTGCCAGAAAGGGTTAAACCTATTGTTTAACATGAAGAGGTGGTTGGCCACCACTATACCTGGTTGTCTTTGTCTCTCCAATGGTGATGTTTACACAATGCACTAAATACTCATTCAAGGCCGAGTCGATCTCGGGGAGGTCCATAATTGGTTCAGACATTCGCCACCGATGTTGGCTGTGAGCTGCAATCGAACTCGGGTCGCTGGGTTTGTATCGAAATGTGCTAAACCGCTGCACGACCTCTCCACCAGGTTTGTGTACATCCGTACCGTCTCCCCCCTCCTCTTTTCAGAACATAGATGGACTCGTCCTTCTAAACAAACTGCCAAATCGCTGCCCGTGGTGCTAACGTTTAAAAAAAAAAAGCACCGCTTTAAAATAAATAAATAAATATATGCGGACCGCCACTTCTTTCAAATGTTTCTTGCCGTTGCTTTTCACACCTGATGACGACCGTTTGTGTTATGGTCGAAACGTGAGAATTTTTATTGTTAAATATATATTTTATAATTTTATTGTTTCCCTTCAACGTGACTTTACCGAAAGAGCTAAGAATATTCATAAAGGTGTTTTTGGGTTCGCATAGATATTAATGTACCATCACACGACAGCCAATTAGTAAGGTTTGCCACTTAAACAAAACGTGCCATTTCGTTACTACTTCAGCACACCGGCGTGTTGGAGAGTAAACTCACATTTACAATTTGAGTACGACGTTTCACTGGTGATTACAACCAGCTTAATTAGGCAATTTGCTAGAATTGTGAAGAGGTCTTGCTGTTTCGGTTACACACACAGTTCAGCCACTTTTGTCACTGAAATAATCCCTTACAATAGAAGTGAGTCAACGCGCTAAAATTAGAAACAGTGTTGTTGCCGGATCGAAAATATGCCTCTCTAGTACCCGATTAGCGCGGCTTGGATGCTCATAAGCGACGGATCCCAATCGCTTGTGGGCCGTTTCGGAGTGGGAGACGCGCGGGTCGTGTTCGGGCCATCGGTTCCTCGGTATGAGCTGTGGTCGGGAGGGGAGCGCGTCGGATTACAGAGGGGACATGTATAATGCATGCCTTCCTTCCCCCCACCTCCTTCCACCGGCGGATCAATCATTAAATACCAGGCACGCTGGCCAAGCGGGTCTTGCCACGAAACCCAAAACGAGTCCCAGCCAAAGACGAGGATCAAAACGACCAGCGTAGCCATCCAGCCTGCTGGGGCGATTTCTGTCCGCGGGGACGTGTTTGTGTTAGTGTGTGAGGCCGACACGGCGCACGACGATGTCCTCTTGATAGCACCACGCTGGGCCGTCTTTGTCTCCACACTGCTGATATTTACGCGGCGCAACCAGCCACTCGCTGGACATGCTTGAGTCGATCCAGGTGAGGCTCGGGGTAATTTCTCACGCCACGTGCCACTGATAATCGCCTTGGCTGAGGAATCGAAGTCAAAGTCGCCGGGTACGCAGCAGTGCAGTGCAGGAAACCGCTGCCACACCGCTCCCCACGCTCACACAGGATCACGACCACACCATAGCAACATCATGAGCGTACTCAGAGACACACTAACGCACACGAGAAGATACATACAAAATAATTAAAACACACGCTAACACTCACAGACACGCACTGACATATCCAGGCACACTCACACGTAAACACATTGTCCTACACCGCTGCTTTCCCTCCACGTGTTTCTGGCTGGGAAACTCGTCTCGAGACTCCAACTGTCAACCTCATTGCTGCGACGCTCGCACAACTAACGGTGAGTGTCACTGCTATTGTGAAATATTGAATCACTTTAGAATATTGTATTTCTTTTCCTGGTGTTATGCGTGTGTGTGCCTTCATATGCGTGTAATAATGATGGGCGCCACGGTGGGGAGATGTTAACTACCTCACGTGGTATACAGGAGCTAGTGGGGTTTATCCAGAGCCTGACGCCTGTATATTTGGAGTTTGCACGTTCTCCCCGTGGTAGCGTGGATTTATCTCCGGGTCTTCCGGTTTTTCCCTCCACATTTAGAATCAATATCACCACGCGTTTAGAGTATTTGGCTGCTATACATTTCCACGTGATAAGCCACTTCGTTGAGTTATCATTTGTGGCCAGGTCGCTTCTGAAAAAGAGCTACATAGCTCAGTGGGCCTTGCCTGGTGAAATACAATTAGTTTATTTTTATTCTTTACTCTGACCAAATGATCCGTAATGCTCCCAATCTCGAAAGCTAAGCAGAAATGTAAGCCCCTGTCTGGGCGACCACCGTGCATGACAGGTATTAAGGGCTGCATGCTGCGTGCTTACCTACGTTACGCACAGCAGTGCGACACAATTTACATAATTGAATTTCACGGTACTTGACCATACTTTACCAAGCTGGTTAGTTCATGGGGGAGTTGGTAATGGAATTGTCAGGGACGGGTTCAAAGATGACCACTCGCCGCTGTTTATAATCGCAGTGGCCGGAAATCGTACTTGTAAGTATGTTGAACTTCTTTCATACCACATGTAGGCAACCGCGTTAATCAGAGGTGCGGGGGAAGGACAACAAACTAAACACAAATAGCAGTTTTAAATAAATTCGTTTTCAATATATTTTTAAAAGCACATAGCTACAGTGGCTTCCTAATATCGGAAGACAATGTTCCAGACGGTTGCAGAAGCGCATCTGAAAGCGCGCGATACGTGACCGAGAATGACCGCGCCGCTTCACCGCGCTAGCCAAGACGATCATTAAAGTGATGTCGACCAAAACATCTGGAAATGCAGGATGCGCGTGAGAGGGAGTCGTGTCCCTCGGTGAAGGCATCCCCAGAGAATTGTCACAGCATCCATAACAGAGGAGCGATGGGCTGAGTCAGCCCTGAAGCCATCCACAAGACAAAGATCCCCCGTATAGCCATTCTTTTGGGGCAAGTGATGTTACGAGTAGCACCTATGAACGCCGAAATGGTCTTCACAGGGGTGGGTGGGCAGCACCACCTTCGGCCGCCTTTGTCTCCGTAGTGGTGATATTTATACATCGTACTTGTTTGCACATACGGGCGGGGGAGTGGAATTCTCTGTGTATGTGAACATCTCAGTATGTCTATTCATTAACCACGTGCGCTAGTTTTTTTGCTCTTTGGGTCTTTCGGTAAAGTCACGTAGATAGAAAAGTAATATTTTCGGTAAAGTCACGTAGATAGAAAAGTAATATTTTTCTATCTACGTGACTTTACCGAAATACCCAAAGAGTATGAATTCCTGCAGTCACGAAAGCTTTAAATCAAGATCTATTATGAGTAATTTAAATGAACCTAGACATCATTCCACTCCCCGCATTCCGCATTCCTACCCCCGTGAACACATCCACTGCCTCCCACGCCGCGCGTGGGAACACAGTGTCTGATTGAACTGGGGTTACTCAATTACGCGGCAGCAATCATCACCCCCCTTAGAGGCTTCAGACTAACACCCGCTTGCAGGCCGGGTGCTGAGTCACCTTGTGTCGCACAGGGACAGCTGCCGATGGGTGTGCCCCTAGGCTAGACCACACAGCAGCAATCATCGCCCTATACTGGCAGACCTAACACCCGCTTACACCCCCAGGTCCTGAGTCACCTTGCGTCGCACAGAGACATTACTTGCCTCCATAGTCTGTTAAAGGCTATACGGGGGATCTTCATGCGTACGCAGTGCGCTCTGCCACTCGTCCCATTCACATCACGCACACACACGTGGACGACGCCTGCGATGGGGAGCGAACTCATGGAGGGCGCCCAGGAGGAGCAAGATCTGCTGAATCGGGAGTGGAACCCTGCCCTCCTCTCTCTGAGGAGCCTCTACCGCGGGGACCCCTTCTACTCGCTGTGCCTGGCAGACCTCATGCGGGCCCCCCAGGCCCTCAACCACGCCATTGTCAAGGAGCAGCGACAACTGGCGCAGGTACCACAGCGTGCACACGTGTTGGTGTGTGTCTGTATCTTTGTGCACGTGTGGTGGGCAGCGCGCTTCGAACCCCGCGATCCCAGTTCGATGGCCAACACCAGTGACCTGAACCGGTTCTGGGCCTCGCCTAGGTGAACTCAGCCTCAAATGAATACCTGGTGCGCTGTGTAAACATCGCCGCTAGAGATAATCAGGAGGCGAGGCGTTGTTCTGGCCACCCACCTTGTGCTCAGTGTAGGCCTTCATAGGTGCTACTCGCTCACAGCAATTGCCCCAACAGTCTGTTAAAGACGATACGGGGAATCTTTGTCTTTGTGCAGGTCAAGTGTGTCAGCTTGTGTGTGGTGCTTGTGCTTGTGCTGTTGAGTCTCAATGATGTTCTGTGAAGAAGGGTCATTGTTCAAAACGTCACCTATTACACACTTTTATTATTATTACTACACACTTTTATTGAATTTGCCGTTGTATGTTTATTCTTTAGCATCTTTGACGCTTAATATCTTCGGATCTACAAAGCCTAACGAACTGAAATTTTCTACACAGACTCGTCTAACGTTACAGTACAATATTTCATTAAAAAACCCGGTCCAGGTCCCGCCGATCCTGGGCTATTAATGTTTTTTACTTAAATGTAATAATTCATCCTAGTTCATTTAACCCCCCCCACCTTTGGAAATCTCGAATGGGCGCGCCCAGCTACGAGAGCAAACGTCTCGTCCAATCAAAGCCGCTGTTGAAAGGAGCGCTTCCATCGCCGCTCGTCATGGCGCCCTAGCAGTCACTGTTGTTCCGTCTTGGCGTGGGACAAGCAATTACAATAATAATTGCTACTACTATTGCTACCATGATATAGTTATCTTACCTATAAAAGTAATTTTTGTCTGTGTGTCTGTCTGCGCGAGTACCTTGTGAAATTTTTAACTGACAAACTGTGGGGTTTACGTAAAAAATAAGTACTTGGATACTATGCCGTATGCCCTGGGGTGAAAAAGCGCGATTCGTATTTCACATCTGTCAACTTTAAAGTAGTTAAATTGACAATTTTAGTACTATTAATTATTATGTTACTACGCTGACCGTGTGACAGCATTCATCTGCGCATGCGCGAGAAAGCTGACCCATGGATGCCCCTAGGAACGCACACACGCGATCAATGGGGAGAGGGGGGAATTCTCATTCGTGTTAAAAATGCAAAAAAAAACAACGCTGAGGTAAATTATTCACAGTGTGATGTCCTCTTCTCCACCCCTACCCCAATGTGTGCATTTACTACTATAGGGTCGGTAGATGCTATTATTCTAGCCCTTAGATACTATTACTGTAGAGCATGCAGGGGGATGTTGGGGGGGCGTAGCGGCCCAGCCCCAGCCTGCAAATGTACCACCTCGGCCGGCTGGGAAATCTAGGCGAGGCCGGGGGCTCTGCACGGGACTAGGCCTCACCACTACAATCTGTGAAGTTAGTACTATTATAGAGTCGATATATACTATTAGGCAATAGTTTTCAATAAATATAATAATTTACCTCATATGATTTTTTTACAATTTTTATATACGATCATACACTAACTACTACTCCTTAATGAAAAATCTCGAATTTTTTTATTTTTCCTGTTTGTGTCGTAAAAACTACCTATGTATCAAATGTAAGCTTTCTACCTTGTCCGTAATTACCCTGGAGGGTTTTAATTCAGATTAAGGTATTTTAAAAATATGTTTTGAGCCTTGCGAATGATGTCATGGGATCTTTAACCTCCATTGCGAGTGAAGCAGCCGGTGCACGGTATCTTTCTACGGTAAATGCACAACCGCAGTGTTAACCAGGGCGGGCCCTGCTGGATTCCAACCCCGAACCTCTGGAACAAGCCGCTGCCACCGTCCGTAATCGATCACTGGTCCATGTCATCGTATGGGCATGTCTATGATAATCATCTACGGCCTTTGTCATGCTCCACCAGAACATCTGTGAAAACTACTTGACATCTGTGAAAAAGAGCTTTATAGCATATCAGATTCCTCCAATAAAAATAATATTCTGATTTTTAACCCTTCTTGTGACCGCTGCGTGGCAGACCCTGCGGAAGCTGGACACACAGCGTCTGAGTCGCCTGCGCCAACTCGCTGAGGAGCGCCGCCAGTTCGAGGCATGCATGCGGCATCGCCTCGCACCGAGGCGCCCACACTCCACGCCACATGGGCATGGCCCAGGGTACGGCTCGTGGCACAACCCGGGGCACGGCCCGGGGCACGGGCAGGCGAGCAACAAGCATGGACAAGACTCGAGAGGGCATTTGCATGAGCAGGGCCAGAGGCGCGAGACCCGACCGCAGTGGTCAGAGCCGGAGCAGGCGGTGCTGAAGGTGGAGTGGCAGTGGAATGGGTATGGTCGAGGGCACGACCAGGGGCAGACTAATGGACAGAGGCAGACTAATGGACAGGGGAAAGACGACACGCAGGGGCATTGGCAACGGAGCGGGCGTTGCGAAGGGCACGAGCAGAGGCACGACGACGCACGGGGGCATTTGGAATGGAATGGGCATGGCCAGGGGCAGCGTCCGTGCACAGCGGCCGCTTGCTGCTCATCCGCGTGGCACCACAGGGGGGCGAGGCCCTGCTCAGCTCCCGTGATCCCGGTTCCCCATGCGGTGTGCTGCCCCTGGGCATTCCCTGGGGGTCCTGGCCTCCCCGAGCCGTCGCCCGCCTCCCGCCCCTTCGTCTCATCCGTGCCACGCTCCGCGTGTGAGCGGCTGCTGCAGAGATGCAGGGTGCGAGGGGTTGAACTGTTGGGGGGGCTGCCCCTCTTGCCCTCGAACCCTGGTACCCCCGGCCCGGCCCGGGAATTCTTATAGAGTAGGGTAACTAGATAAAGAAGCAGACAATACTAAACTAAACAATTTTGTAAACATTTAACAGGTAAAACGCACTGAGCTATATAGCTCTTTTTCAGAAGCAACTTGGCCACAAATGATAGCTCAACGAAGTGGCTTACCATAACGTGCAATTGTATAGCAGCGAAATACTCTAAATGCGTGATGTTGATTCTAAATATAGAGGGAAAAACCGGGAGACCTGGAGAAGAATCCATGTGACCACAGGGAGAGAGACGCAAACTCCAAATATACAGCAGGCGTCAGGGTCGGGATCGAACCCACGACCTCCTGCATATCAGGCGATGTAGTCAACATCTAGCCACTGTGACTTACTCCTTTATATTGTGTGTATATATACACTATATTCTTGGATATTTCAGTAAAGTCACGTAGATAGGTTCAAAGAAAATATGACGATTGCTTGTGTTGCGATCGAAACGTCGTAGTTTTTTCTTTTTGTTATTTTCTTTGACTATAAAACTACGACGTTTCGATCGCAACACAATCAATCGTCAACTCCTGATGTTGCGATCGAAACTTCGTAGTTTTTTTGTTATTTTCTTTGAACCCATCTACGTGACTTTACCGAAAGACCCAATAATATGAATTTCTGCAGTCACGAAAGCATTAAGTAAAGATTTATATATACACTGTTTCTGTCTCTCCACATAACAAAAAGAAGTCTTTCCTTACAAATGTAATCGGCCTCATAGGCTTCTAGGGAGTGCATAATTTCAGTAGCATTGACAAGCAAAACTCTGGGCCGGTTTCAATGACATGTCCCGGTAAACAAGGAAACGTTAAGCCAACGTTTCACCAGCGTTGGAGTTGCATTGGGTCAATGTTGAACCAACTCTGGGTTAACTTTGGGCCATCGGTTTAAGCTACAATGCAACATTGCATGTTTTGTCATCTTATCTTAATGCGATTTATAGAGTCCCTTTACCAAGGCGCCTTTACCAAGGCATGATAATAATTTGAAATTAAGAATTGCGTCATTGCAAATGGTGCTGTATTTTTGATGCAGTAAAACGAGGGATTGATAAGGAGGGACGTTTCATCATTGGCAGTCAGCCGGCGTGCTTGAACCAACGCTGGTGAATTGTCAGATGTTATAGGCAAGGGCCCTCTCTCTCTCTACTATAGTGGGGGTGTCCTCATTATAGATTAGGGGGTGAGGAACATAGTCCTGTGGGGCCTAAGTTCCTTTGGCCGGGGAGGAAGGGGGTGGGTCGGTGGGGTGGGGGTCACACAGAAATGAATACACGCACAGCTTCAATGACTGAGATAACTGCCAGACTCCCGTGGTTCTCGTGGGATAATTTTTAATTACAAAAAAATGAGCCCAATACAACACGTCGAAGGTTCCAACGACAGGGTTACCTAAAATCCGTGATTAGCTGTCCCGGCGCAACGGGACCACACGAAAGGGGGAGGGCAAATAAGGGAGTGGGGCCCGCAGCCTCCAACCTTATGGAGACCTCGCGTTGGAGGGAAGATGAAGATTTAAATGTGAAGGAATAACGGGGGGGGGGGGGGAGCTGGGGATATAACCAACATGGTCATGGAAGACCAAGTGTATAGGGGAAACGCTCCATTGTTGATGCAACAGACAGACCCCTTGCGATGTGTTTCTGGGGACGTACTGCATGTTGCTCAGCAGGCTGTTCCGACGTTTCTCTCTATGTGCTAAGTGGAAGCTTCTTCTTAAGGATCAATAGTTTTTTCTTGGGTGACAACACTGCTTTACTTTGCTACAATCGAGGGATTATGGTGAATATATACAAATGCTATCTGAGTCCTATGAAGAAGGAACATTGCACGAAACCTCACCTTTTACGTTTTACTTTCAGGGCCACTGTTATTCCCGAACCTGTTGAATTGTCAGTGTTGGTATCGTATAAAGTATCACGGAAGGATATGGTGGTTGTGTAGTGTGTGTGCAGTAGAAATGTGTTTGCCTTACCTAGGGACAGCTCTAGTGGCGTGAACAGGCAATTGCAGGGCTGCACATTTATCTTTATGAAGCAAATTTGATTGACGATCCTCGCGTCTCTTTGACCAGGTTGCTCTACATCAGCGGTGGCCAATACACCAAGCGGTGTTGATGATCCATGCTGGTGTGGATCTTGGCGGGCTCCGCGATCCACCACCAGAAAGTGTTGACCAAACGATCACCCAGATTTAATACATTATTTAGTTGGGAGATTGTTATTTGCCTGTAGCCGTAACAATGTTCTGTCTGCTGATGGAAACGCTTCTTCCGATTCGTCCTGAGATGCACCACAACGTTTCCAGCGATTGTGATCCACCTGTGGGCCACTGCCGCTCAACGTGGGGGCGACAACGTATCGCCACGTCCTGTTGTCGCTACGCATGCACATTGTGGGATTCATCACTACGAGGCGCACAGCAATCGGCGAGCCACTGGACACCGGCACTCCGGATTCTCCAGAAACTAACAAACTATTTTTAATTTTCTCCGGGTCCTTCGGTTTTTCCCTCCACATTTAGAATGAACATGCGATGAGAGTTTATGGTAGCTATACATTTCCACATAAGCTAATTCGTTGAGCGATCATTTGTGGCCAGGTCGTTTATGAAAAAGAGCTATACATCTCAGATGGCCTTGCTCGGTAAAATAATAAGTTTAGTTTAAATTTTGTTAATTATGGAGTCAGATTGCCGCATGAGTAAAGATTGCCAATGTTGTGTTCTGCGTCCTCCACCCGATACAGCCGAATGAATAAAGTTGTTGCGTGAACAAATGTGTCAGTTTTATTTTATTTCTTCAGCGGACCACCGTCGTCGCTCCAGAGAGATACGCAATATTTAACAATTAGGCCCCGACGTTTCGCTGGAATTTACAACCAGCATTATCAGGAGATTGCCACAATTGAACTCCTGATCGCAAGTTGATTACAACGCTGGGTTCAAAGCCGCATGAGATGTATACATGTTGAACTTCTTTTGCACCGCACATAGCCAACCACGTTAATCGGAGTTGTGGGGTAAAGACAACAAACTAAACACAAAAAGCCATTCTCCGCAGAGATGCATGCTACACGGTGAAAAATTAGCGGCTTCGCGAGACGATGGCACATACGTAATGATGTCACCACCTTGGGAGGCAAGGTGAAACTTTTAGCACTGTTTTTTTCATCGTCGGGTTTTGGCCGATAACCCTTCCATCAATGTGACCGATTTTTCCCCAGGGTAAGTGCTTCATAGCAGCACAACTTGATACAGATATTCAATCTATACTGGTCCATCTTTAGAACTATCGTAATCCGCACGCTCACTACGCGCACACACAGGGACGGCAGCGCCGACGAATGAACTCGTCCGATCTTTATTGTAGTGCCGACGAAACGGCAAAGGCGGTAAAAATCAGACAACCTCCGATGTGGGGAAGGCACTGAGTGAGGAGAGATACATTGTTACAATAAATAATTGTAAACAACAAGGCTTGGCATTGTTTGGGTTACCTCCGGTTTCACCCAGTTACTCCCATAGCTAAAAAAACCCTACACAATATAACCAGGCCTGATGGGCCAACATTCCATTTCTGAAAACAATTACTGTACCTGCAAATCCCTTAATTGGGATCACACGAAGCAGCAGCAACGTCGCTCACTGTATTGCGATAACCTGGCAGGACCCTCCTGAAAAAGGAGTCACGAGGCTCGGTAAAGATTATTTGGGTAAACGATTGGAATAAAAAAGTCATTTGCACGCCATAATCGGACTGTGCCCCATCGAGTAATCATGCAATGAACATTACTAAAGTGATGTATGACTAAAACCAGAGGCTCAAACCAACATGGACGGCCGCTAAATAACTTAACAAACATGGATTTTCAAGCAACAGACTACTGCGGCGACATCTCAAGCTGGCCTACAAGTTTACAACATTGAAGATTTGGTGAACATCGGTGCTGAAATAGTGAAACGCACTGCATTCCCAAACAGTGCGCTGCAAACCGGTAAATATCACAGCCCGCATTGACTTAAATGCAAACTGCCGCTCCAGTCCCACAAGTCACACAGACAAGCGCTATATGCCCTGAAACGTTACTCTGCAGAGTCGAGCCATATACCATTCAACTCATCTCATGGATGCATTTGTAGAGTAGGAAGTAGCGACGTCATGTCACGCTCGCCCTCTGGTACGATAACGTCACGCATGGTGACGTCATGTCCCCCTGTTACGTCTTCCAACGACGCAGAGGCGGCGACCCGGGACCGGACGATCCCGGGCTCCGTGGCCCCGGTTATTGCGGCCACGGCTGGTGTGTCTACAGCACCAGTGGAGGACATCGGGCGTGCTGGGGAGACGGCCGCCATTACAGGTCCTCCAGCGACCACGTGGCAGGCCGCCGCCATCTTGACCATCGCGGCGGAGAAGCGGTCGGGAGCGGCCATTTTGGAGGTGCCACGTGGTGCGCAGCCTGCTGCTGAAGCAGCTGTGGTGCGGGAAGGAGCCGCGAGGAGAGGACGCCGTCGTCGCTGCGGGGGGCTGGCGGAGGAGGCCCGGCGGGCATGCGGGGGCCGCAGTGGGGCCGCCATTTCGGCGGCTGGCCGGGACGCTGTTCCCGCCAAAATGCCGTTCCCGCCGACATCAACACCTGTGGAGGCGGAGCTCCACACATTCGGGTGGCGGCTGCAGTCGCAAGAGGAGTCCGTGGTCGGCGTGCAAGATTCTTCGGGGCATCCCAGCGCTCCAATTTGCCGTCCTCCACTCGTCACAGCTTGTCAGGCGAGGCGTGACGCGACACACACCGGCCTCTGTTGACACCTCATCCATCTTGCCTGCGCCGGGTTGTGAGTTCATGTTGTTTTTTTATTGGTTTCCCGCCGGGATGCGGGGCGTCCAATTGCTCTTAATAACTTGCGTCTGTCCGTGGCGTTCGTGTCGGGTGTCTGCGTGTTACATTATTGGTTCATTACAGCGTTGGGATTGTTATCTTAAGGAGCGAGTTAATTTTTCGATTTAAAGCTTTCGTGACTGCAGGGAATCATCTTCTTTGGTTCTTTCGGTAAAGTCACGTAGAATGAGAATAAAATAATAAAATAAAAATAAGACAATAAAATTTTCACGACGTGATCTCAAGCACTGCCGTCCCGACAGTTCTGTTCTTTCACCTG